TAATCCACCGCGACGTGAAGTAATGCTAGACATTTAACATTGTCCGATGGCGCAGTAACTTCCCCTCGTAGCATAGTTGATATTCTAGCCTTCAACTGATAGCTGACGTTCTTGACCTCGTCCTGCAGTACGACTTGGTTCACCCGATGGCTCAGAGGGAAGATCGGAAAACGATACCCAATGCTCTCTAAAAGGGCTTGCGAGGTTGCCATTTATTAGTAATCTCAGAATAGTTGCGCGATTTATGATAGGGTGATGAAGAAGAAATATTTACGGAAGCACGACAAAATCTGTCAGCATAACTCTAAGCCGGGTAGCCAAATTAGAGACAGGACAAACCTTTCTCTCCAGGCAACCTATTTAATTTGTCTCGCTACTCCCCCCAATCATAGTAAGTCGCTGAAACCTACTGCGAGACGCAGTTACGTTGTCAAGACATTCTTTACAGCCTATGCATTCATAATTGTGGATTAATAACTTCCATTATAGTACAAACGCAAAACCGTTACATTAGAAATTATATTGCACCATACATGTTTCAATATGAAACCGACTCAGTAGTTGTGTTTGGTACGATAGTCCCAATCACTGAGATCAGATCATGAATCCTTGACATATGAAACAAATAAATATTAATCTTAATCGGTGACACTTTCAGTCGATTGATCCAACTTTCGGTGCTGAAGCCACCACAAAACTATACGAGGAGTGTGACGCAGTATGTTGCGGTCTCTTTCCTTTGCGTTGTACCAACAGAACTTTTGACACCACGATGTCGTAATCATCATCTTTTTGACTGAATTGTCTTTTCAGAGCCGCCGATAATAGCGTAGCAACCACCAGCACCGAGTCGCCCGGACAGGTCGCGTTTGCGTGAGTGCAATTGGCTCAGTTCGGGCTTCGAGTCTTCAATATTATCTAAATTTCCAAATATATTAGTAGCCTAATATCGCTTAGTAATTAATCACGGCGTATTCTTCTGGTCACCATTTTCGCAGAAGACCTAACGGGTGACTTTAAATCAGGTTCCGCATCCGACTTGCCAGAGTAGATGAACTCCGAAGTGAAATCATCATATTTATTGAGTTCCATATCTTTAGTTGACACTTCGGGTGCACCAGCAACGGTACACGTAACAGCTCATCCAGTCTCAGCAATATGTGAATGAATTCCTGATGCTGGGTCTAAATACGCGCTCTCCGCGGCTGCAAGCATTCGGGAAACCACGTTCGTTGTCACTTTGACTGCGTACCGCATGAGATTGTCAAGCAATCAATGAGTGTAACCAGGCACGCTCTTACCTATTACTGGTATGATCTTTTGTGTTTTAACACAATGGTGCGTGCTTCCAAACCTCACGTACACGTGAGCGTGAGGAAGTGCGATGTAGAAGACAGAGATAAAGAAACTCTGAGTTGGGAGAAATGTAGAACTGTATTTGGTATAGTTATGTTTCTAATGATCAAATCTTTTTTCTTGCTTGAATTATAATAAACAACGTGTATCTCTCTCGCTTACCGCCATTGCGCGCGTATAGCATGGATTAGTGGTTGATTTGATTGATTTTACGGTCTATACCAACCATTTAGTGGAGCAGCCAAAGAATATTACCCTTAAAGGAACATTTATCAACATTTGCTCAGCCAGATAATATTGCTGAATACTATCAAGTAAGATAATATTCACATTGATGTTTACAAAGTGTCAATGAAAGTAACAGGATTACCCCGTTACTATGAATATCGAATCGGAAATGACCTGGATTGACAAGTGCTCCCATTGCCAGAGTGACTGAACGTTGGTCGTGTTAAAGTTTGACGATCCCGAAGTGGATCTTGAAATTGCGTTATTGTGATGTTCAACGTGATGTTTTACATTGCGTGTTAATGCGTGGACTACACATCGTGTGTTGTGTGGACCATGGAATATCGTACTTAGGGTAAAGGACGGATCTTGATCTGATACACTTACTCTCTTGTTATTATCGTGTTCGTGGTTCGCACTCCCTCTGTGTTTGTCGCAGCGTGGCTGTATGATTATAGGTCAGTCCGTCACCTATCTGTGGTTAACTCAATAGGTGACGGACCACCTACCGATTGCCTATTAGTCACAAGAGTGACTGTGATAGGGGCAGTTCAACGCGGTGATCCCTTGACATGTCATTGATATGAAATAATGTAAATGTGCATCTTACTTCATTGATAATACTCAATAATATCGACCGTATCAAGTAAACAATGATGTAAAAAGAGCTGCAAAGGTACTATTCTGCGCCGCTCTACTTGTTGTTTGATGCAAGTCCTACTAGTAGCCATATTAAACACCAAATTCCACTAGACGCGTGCGATGGGGGGGTGAATGAATTCCTACAGTTGGAGTTTGTAGTTTAATATATAATTAATACTCGATTTCTACGGCTTGATAAAACACTCGACTAAACAAAATGTAGGTATACTTCGCCTTCTTCCAAGCGTTGTCGCTTAGAAGGCTTGCTGATCCTTCTGCACGTATTGTGTACGTGAAGCTCAGGAATACCTGTTGAAAGTTGGCAATATTAGAGATCTAGTGACAAAGTAAATGCATCGGCTAAAATTGGAAAAACTTGATCAGTTTACCATTTGTGTGAGGTATGGTGTGGTATTGGCATCTTTTTATGTCTGTACCGTATCGCTTTACATTTAGTTTAAACTGCAAATAAAATAAGGGAATTGCTATATTCACACTTCTTTTCCTTAGATTCACATCCTTCCTTCAAATCTTATACATACAAGGTACGCAATCGCCGTTGGACAAAGACGAGTAATTTCTCTGCCACGTTTCATACGCTCATTGTACGATGTAGAGAGGTTTGCTAGGGCACCGTCAATATCCATAAGAAGGAATGAAAGAATCCCTAACGGTTCAACACCAGCCAATGTCATATTTCTGACAGTACCGGCCTGCTCGCTATTTAGCTTCCTATGGGTCGAATGACCAGACGGATGGAGTGACGGCTCGTGATTGTGGCATCCATTTATCACGTTTAACTTCCAATTACCCCTTTTTTGGAGAAATTTCCACTTAAAAGGAACGGGCAATCAATTCGGCGTGAGCTGGTCTGGAGTTGGCGCTCTTTTCCAACCTTTGGTACGTTTACGGCACCTCGATCACATTTAAGGTAGACACGCTTTCTTGCAATCGAAGTTTTAATCGTAACAGCATTGGCTTGGCCACGTGCGAACGTCTGCACAGTATCCATTAGTTGCTCCCGACTGGCATACTCAACCTCGGGAGGAGGAAGCATGTTATTGCGTGGTGCCCTATCAGTAAACGCTGGAGGAGCTAGACTACAGGCGTGAGTAGTATCTTAAGTATTTCTTACGTATTACTTGCCAGCCAATGGCCTAGATTATTGAGTAATACCTTTGTCAGAAATCAAATCTTAAAATGGATAGGGATTTTATCTATAAGATCTTGAAGGAAGGGTATGAATTTAAGGAAAAGGGGTGTGAATTTAGCAATTCCTTAAATTAAATACCACTTACTCTATTTGATCTTTGAAGACCGTGTTCTCAATTATTTTTCCTTGGTTGTGTCCGTAGTAACAGCACCAGAGTTTAATAGTACCTGCCGACACTGTGGCCAGTGTAGGTAGATTGTACTATGCCAGTTGAGGGCGCCTCATTACACGACATGAATGGGCGGCAAGGTTTTGCCAAAGCATGGCTCTCCCTGATCGTCCAAAAGGTTGCCATTGTCGTGACCGATTTCTCCAATTCGATTTCATGCACGTCAATAGCTGCGTCGCCGTCTCGCAGAATGAGGCGAGCACGCGACTTTGATCCAAAACGACCTCGCTCCGATGAGAGCAATGGAGACGCTTGCACCTAAGAGAAGATCTCCACTTATTCTAGTTGCTCGCGATGGATTAGCGAGTTTTTATTGGAATGGAATGACTTGTAGAATGAAGAAGTGGATTGATAAGTTGATAGCCTGCCAACCTATCCTTCCAGTGCATTCTACATCATTCATCCATCCGCAAGTCCTGCTCCATCCGCCCACTCAGCTACCGGTTTGCCGCTCACTCATTCCAATAGCGGTCGGCAAAATCAAAACTTCGCTTTGGCTACTAAACCTTGACATGGCCATCAAAGTGCCTCAACCTGCACCTCGACACCTAGATTCTCACAGTGAGTACCTGCGTGAATTCGCTACTAGAACCTAGGGTGATAGAATTGCCTTTGCACTCTTATATAACCGATATGCTATGGACATGTCCATCCCAAATATCGCTCGTCAGGTAAAGCTGTGTCTTACAACCTCTTTGCTGGAGAGCTTTGCATACACGACCTACAGGGGGCTAGCGGACAAAGTGCAGGTTTCCACACCAGCAGATGTGTGTCAAGTACGCTGTTCAGCAGTGCCGAGCATCAGTGCGTCAAACTTACTAATATCTAGACAGCAGCATGAGAGCAGTGAACTCGTGCATGCACATCCATTGTTGCATTCCTACTACGCCAAGTATTGCAGGGAGCTAGGGCAACACCAACGATATCCGACGAATCATTCTCGATTCCCCTGCACCTGTAGCTTCTTTCAGCATTTGCGTGCGCAGTGTCACCACAAAGACGCTTCAGAAATTCGCAACATACCAACACGTCGCTGCGTCAGTGACTGCTACTGACCGTGGAACGTCATTGCGAGTGCGCCTAACGAACAAAACCGTTCGATCCCTGGGAACCCGCCGCAGCGACACATAGTAAACTGGCTACCGATCCCAATCTTCTTCTTGTCCACACAGCACCCCTGTTTGGTTTGGTTTTTATTTTGGGCAGTACTGTCGAGTATCGGTACATCGATCCTAGTCTAGCGCAGCTCGGACACACACCAGTTATCCCGTCATTCCCCTCTTGTCCCGTCCCGTCTCGTCGCCCCCCCCCACCCCCACCCTCACGCCCCACGGCCGCCGAGCATTCCGCTTCGTACCGCGTCTACCGGTTTTTCCACGGCCCTGTCAATCAATGGTCAAGCGAGGCACTGGCGAATACCTGGCCACGGCCGCGCCACCGTCCGCGCCGTCGCCGCCGCCGTCCGGAGCGGCCAATGGGCCCGCGAGCGTCTCGGCCGTGTGGTCGTACTTCGAGAAGGACCAGTCGGGCAACTCGGTCTGCAAGTTCTGCGACCGCGTGATCAAAGGCCACCACTCGTCGAACCTCTTGTCGCACCTGCGCACTGCGGGACGGACGGACGCCACGCACCAACAGGCGAACAACGTGTGCGAAGAGCACCGCGAGACGAAGCGCCACTTCAAGCGGCAGAAGATCGGCCTCCAGGCTGGCCAGGCCTGCGCCGAGTTCGTGAGCGCGGCGATGTACTCGTCGCCCGGGGCGTCGCAAGCGCTGGCGGCGGCTGTTGCGGCGGCCGCAGCGGCGGGTGGCGGAAGCTCGCCCAGTGTGCTCACCGCAGCGCTGAAGCGCGACCCGTCGTCGGGTTTCTACGCGTACTCGTCGCCAGGGACAGCACTGGGGACAGCACTGGCGAAGGAGCAGAAAGAGACGCTGGCTGCTGGCACCAGTTTCTACCACCCGATGCCGCCGGTGCAGGTGCCTGCCGAGCAGCTGACGCAGGACTTGAGTCTCATGGCGCTGATGGACAATTTGCCGCTGGGTTTTGCAGCGAAGCCAGGCATGCGGTACGTGATGAACCAGCTGTATGGCGAGAAGAAGCTCGTGCTGCCGACGGAAGACGTGCTGGCCAAGAGCATCTTGTTGCTGCACGAGAGTGTGTTTGGGACGACAAGGGTGATGGTGGCGAGGGCCAAGAGTGTCGGCGTATCGCTCGAGGTGTGGCGGCACCCGGCGTTGACGAAGCCCAAGCCGACGCAGTATTTGGCAATCAAAGTGCACTTTAGTGTGAACTTTCGACTGTTTGATATTGCCGTGGGCGCTGTGTCGTTGGACGAAGTGGCTGGACTGGAGACGATCAAGAGCACACTTGACTCGTACCTCGAACGGCTTGGCATCAAAGACAAGGTCATTGCTGTTGTCATTGATGAGCTTCCGACAAAGGTCGCACTTGCGGCATCGGACCTCCCGTCGCACTTTATGCCTATCAACTTTGACGGTCGGCTCGTTTCGCCCGATGCAGCACAGGGCACGCTTCTCGTCACTTCGGCAGTGCAGCACCTGCGTGTCTGCTTGACTTTTGACCTATTCGCCCGGTCATTTCCGAACGTCGTGAGTCAGATCGAAGAGTTCGTGACTCGGCTCGCAGAGAACGAAGGGGCGACGCTTTGTTTGTACCGCAAGTGCCCGCTGTACGACGTCGAGCTGTTCAGCAGAGGGCACGGGGCAGCAGAGTCTTACTATGGGTTCCTTCGCAAATTGTTCGAGCACTTGCCTGCGCTGGAACAGATCGCCGAGGCTAACTTAGTAGCGTTCCTCCCTGCATCAACGGTGGAATCCATCGGCTTGTTAGTGAAGAAACTGCGGCCATTTTTGAGGTACTCGGAGGCCCTAGAGGGAGAAAAGAACAAGAAAACGGGCAGCGACAAGGAGGTCAACAAGAATGGCATTTCAAGCATCTCAACCATCGCCGCTGCTTTGGTGGCGTATGCGGAGAAACAAGCGCATCTGGCAGTCACGGGTGTGCCTGTGCATCTAGAACCAGCCACATGGAAGCGTTTTTTCGAGACGCTCGCAAGGAAGTTGCGCGATCAGTTTGCAACGCTTCCACCAGTCTGCTACGCAGCGACGTTGTTCGACCCACGATACAAAAATCGCGAATACTGCTACCTGTCGCCCAAGGTGGAGTGCGGACTTGGCAAGGACTTTCTTCGTCAGACATTCACACCTGAAGGCAACTCAATGCAGACATCGAACGTCTCAGATTCCGCGGGGCTATCAGACTCAGGTGCAGACTCCGTGGCTAGACTGGCATCGTCTTCCTATGCAGAGCTGACGAAGGAACCGGCTGGGCTAGTGCACAGCGACGTGGGACTTGCTGACGACGAAGATGATGACCTGCTTTCGCACCTGCCGTCTGAGACATCGCACTCATCTCTTCGAGGTGAGAATGAGACGGTTGCGATGTGGGAAAAAGAGCTGAGCGCGTTCTTGAGCCTGCCGGTTTCGGAGCGCAATGTGGATCCGTTGGCCTGGTGGAAGATGAACCAGCTCCGTTTCCCGCTGATTGCACCTTATGCCGAAATGGTGTTGTCGCTGCCCGCAGCATCTTCGAGCGGCGAGACTGTCCGAACGCAAGTGCATAGTGTGCTTCTGCGCACAGAAGGGCCTAGTCGCGAGGCATCGCTGGCCGATAACCCGGCCATGATAGACGCCTTTTTGTGCTTCCAGAAAAACAAAGAGTGCGCAGTCGAGTGGGTTCGGTCAGGGTCGAGCGCCAACGGTATTGCAGAGGCAGCAGGACTCAGTGTCGATCCGGAAGCGAGTTCTGGGAGTTTCAAGCACATCGAGAACGTGTGATGGGGGAGGCCGAAATCTCAGCACCGACGAGGCTGTTACCGATCAGGCTTTGCAAGAATCAGGGCTACGACGAGTGTGTTTCTCGAGCCACGATAGCTCAGGAACATCATCATCATCACCATCATCGTCGGTTCTACGTCTCACACATTTGTGACCAGCAAGATCTCGCAACGAATGAACGTGGTTGTCTGCTGCTTTTCTTACCGACTATGGATCATGACCTCGTTTCTTCGTTAGCGCGATTCGTTTCAAGCGTCTGGCTTTACTGCACACAATCTCCTGTGCTCAGCAGAGTTGACACAGAAAGGTGCTGGACACAAGTGTAGGAAGTACCGCAATGTGCTGAATCGAGTATGCATTCCATGGCCGCATTCGAAGTTGCTACAAGTTCTTGAGCGACCGCTAGTCAAACCATGCAGCGCACATGGCGTCGTGAGAACAAACTATCCAGAGCACGGTCGAATCTTTTGCGCAGGATACATCAATCGCAAGTATTGAGGTTGATGTCATTTTTGTGCAGCACACCCGCCCACGTTGAAGTACAGTGGCGATGGTCAAGATCGTTCAACACCCACCCAACGATGTCGTTGACCTCAAGTCCCTCACTACCGTCGCACGTGCGCCCAGATAGATGACAAGATGCCACCTTCGCAGCTGTCATCGCAAGAAAAAATCCAGCCATTAGCGATCCAAACATTGCTATCAATACGCTGACAGGTGCGCCAATATCCGGAATTGAATCATTATAGAGCCCACGATCGACGAGAGTCGTTTGCTATGCACCTCTGAAGAAGTATCTGCAGACACTTCGGCCCAGCATACGGCTCAAGGACAATGCGTTCGGCATCGGCATAGTGGAAGCAATAGGTGATATCGTATTCATTGTGCCGTACGTAATCTCTCACTCTGTTGACTTGTAGCACAGTGTAACGTGTGCTATACTATGCTCTTTACGTCGTGTCGGTTCCTCATACAAGCTGTCGTACGTATCGTAGGAAGCAGGAATCGTTGCAATGGTCAACATTGTATTGCACACTTGCAGTGGCAGCAGCTGAGAGCAAAGCGAATGGATTGTTCCTACATCCGTGCACGACAGTGGTATCTAGGCCATCGGCCGTGTCCTTCGTGTCGCGGACACAAACTCCTCACCGTGAGCATTTGTTACCTCCGCGTGCCGCACGAACGCCCCAAGTGCCCCGAGATAGCCTTCGTGCTTGCAGAAGCGCGCTTCCATCGCTCCCTTTGACCAGAAATTGATTGCATACGCCAGAGTTCTGGACGAAATTTTGTTGTGTCGGAGGAAGTTACCTACGAAAAAGATGTTTTTGGTCTTGTACAGCGTTGCGTTCAGGAAGGCGACCTGGCCGATATTCTGGGTAACCATAACCAACAGCGACCGCGCAAGGTCGGCATCGCTCACGCTGTCCCGAGAGACCGAAATCATTTTGCCGAAACTGCTGGCGACCGTCGACGCCGGCAAATTAAACTTGTCGTATGCTCCGCCGTAGATATCTCCCACACTCATGTCGACCGACTCATTGGATCCACTGACGCACAAATCTACCGCTTCGTCATACGACTCGCAGTGAGTCAGTAGGCGACAGAGACCCCAGTACGTGCCGCCGCCAATGCTGCTACCACTAACACGTTCGTAGTCTTCCGGTCCTTTCACATACAGCACACTAACACCGGAGCCAATACTGACAAGCTGCAAACAGCCGCCAAGTTAGCCAAGGTCCATCAACACTATGCACACACTGGCAAGCGAAGACACCCACCAGATATGGATACACGTTTGTGTCTGCATCCGGTGGGATCGTTTTTGCTCGCGAAGCCGCTAGGGAATTAAAATCAACGACCTGCACGGCAACACCGAAACTCACATCTCAGCTGGTTTCTACAGCGCTCGCGAGAAAGACACGTACTTCAAAAGTGTACATTTCGTCCGGCAGTGTCGTGATCAGGAGATGCAGCCCCAAAATGGTACAATTGATCTCGTCGTACTTCTCCAGCTCAATCCCTGCGATTTCGTTGAACACATGTCCATACTGCACCCAGAAAGCAGTCACCGCACGCATGTCAGCCGACGCCAATTATACACTTCAGCATCAGGTAAGAAGTCATTGATCCATAGCACAAAAACTCGACCTTGTGAGCCCCGCCGCCCGTACACGGCAAGATCCTCAGCGACTGATGAATCCCATTCGTCACGATAAACTCGACCGCTTCTCGAGTGCGACTGCTTTCAAACTGCATAAAATGGAAAACCTGCACATTGTCATACCCTTTAGAACCACATATCACTCGACGACGCCAAACAGTCGGACGATAGAAATCGCACCCCATTGAGGATCGTCGAGTACGCCTTCAGCCGCACGTCTTGCACGCCCGTGGAGCCAAACGACAGATGCTCGCGCAGGAACTTGTTCATCTCTCTGGCTGCTCCATCCAGCGAAGCCGAGCGCGACCGCTTGTCGTTGCTCGCCCCGTGGTGCTCAAAGTACACGATCTTGGCCAGTGTCCCCCCTGCATCAGATGACAATTAGCGCACGCTTTTGTCCGTGTCGAACGCGCTTTATACGCTCGAAAAGTCTATTTCTAAATGTCGACCAATGTCTAAGCCAAACGATGTCCCCAAGTCCGATCTGCCAAAATTCGAAACGCGATGATAATATCGAAACGCGGTCAGTTTGTTTTACAAAAGTGGTGCGAAAATTCGCTTCTCGTACGACTTTGACAGCTTCTTGTACGCCATCCGCTGCCGCCAGATCCGCTGGCGGTGGCGCTTCCGCTCCACGCAGATGAACGCTACGATGGAAGAGAAGACCAGAAAGCTGCTGGTCAGCACCACGCGCTTGACGCCGTTGCGATCCGCCATATGGGCTTGAACACGGTCGGTGCCTCGGTCTTTTTCAGCGAATGAGAGCTCCTGGTACAGCAAATTTCAGCGAATCAAAGAACGGTTTCGACGTCGTCGTCGTCGTCAGTTTTCGATCCTCTCGGCGCCACTTACGAGCGAAGAGGTCGTATTGTAAAGGTAATCAACCGGAAGTGGAGGTGGAGATTAGCACAAACGTGTTCGAACGACAGGGCTCGGCGATGTCGTACAGTCTTTGCTTGTCCACGTAATCAACCGCTCGAAGATTGAGAATGAGCACTGTACGCGCCACAAGCGGACAACAGCAATTGCACCGATATGCAGTTGCAACACACTGGCACGTGGTAGCCTCGCGCTACGAGTGATCCACCCCATAGTTTCCTGATTGAATTCAGTTAGCGCTGCGGTCGCTCACTTGTCAAAAAAGCCTCAGCCTCGTCGTTGTCGTCCACTTCGTCGTCGCTGTGATGCTTACTTTGGAAGGAGCCACTGCGCGCGCGAGAATAATGCAGCTCGCTGTCCACAAAGAGGTTGTGGTTACGCAAACGTACTTGATCTTCTTATGCCCCATGCCCACCGCGTCGAAACGCAGTCGTTCGGCCGGGTTCGAACACCAGGAAGTACCTCGACGGGTGGATGTCAAATCCTGTTACATACGATGCAATCACCAAAACGCGTTATATTAGGTGTGACAGGCTGATCGAAACATCAACAACTGCTCCCCTCCTCCTCTTCTTCTTCTTCCGGAAACGGTCGCCGAAAGAATCCACTACTGTCCCTCAGGGATCGGCCCTAATTGGTCGTCGCGTCGTCAGCGACGTGATGGTCGGGGTCTGACATGTATACAAAACTGCCGTAATAAGACGACATGCCGACCCCAACTCGGTGTCATTTTGGGTTTGACCGTCTCCAGTACACGAGTGCCACCGCATCTACCGAAAGCGATGACCAGCAGCAGCAGTAGCAGTGTCAACAACAAGAGGTCCCAATTGACCCGTCGTGTCGTGCGTCGCCCGCTGCAGTTCGTCTCGCCCGCCAAAGAACAGCAGTATCGCGCCGACATGGACCACGTGCAGCAGTACATTTGCGCACAGGTTGGGGGCCTGGACGACGTCTCGAGCCAACTGCTCGGCGTGCACGACAGTCGCTCGTGCAGCTACTACGAAGAGATCCAGGACTTTCTCGACCGCAAGCACCAGCTCGAGCAGCAGCAGCAACAACAACAGCAACAACGGCCACAGCCGGTGAAGGGGCAGAGCGCTGAGCGCGTGCTCATCCGGGGCCTCGACGAGTTTCTGAACGAGCTGGACCCGAGTTTGTTCACGGACCCTGTGTCGAGCACCCCCCAACGCCTTGCGGTCGCCAACTTACCGGTGCACAGCAGCTACATTCGTCGTAAACAAGAGGAAGCGATGCTGACTCGTCTGTGGAGCAAGCACAACGCCGTCGAGACGGACCGCTGCACGGCCGCTCCGATCTCGTGGGCTGGCGCGATCAAGCGCCAACGGGTCCTGTAACGACAACAGACGATAGAGGAGTATCTATGTAATTTATCTCGCTCCATGTAGCCAGTCTCTTTATCGTGCGCTAGTCGTCACTCGTCACACGAGGCCGAGCAGCCGCCAAGTCGCGCGCTCAATGTGACCTCACTGGACCTGAAGGTGCCGAGCCAATTCACAAGAATCGGCGGGCCCTCTCACATCATTCCGAAGTCTTGGGGGGCTCACACACATGGCAGCAAGTCGGAGCGAGTGCCGCCGTCGGCTCGTCTGCATTTCGTTTTGTTTTGCTTGGCAAAGCTCCGCCGAGTACCGTTCGTGTGTGACAATAGTGCAGCCACCTCGTGTGCGAGCTGCGCAGAATCCTTGAAGGTGCAGTGCAGCACAGTGGGTACAGAGACCCCGTGCACTGTCATCGTAGACACACAAAGCGACGGACGGCCCAATGGATCGTAGCCGAACCGCCAGCTTTTCCCTTTCTATCACACAGTACCAAGCAACGATCGTTCTTTCCCGCCATCTGTCGGGTCAACAACGTGACCACGACAAGGCCAACCGGTAAGCGCCTTTCTCCAGGACCAGTTATACTGGAGACATCAGCTCCGGGACATGACATCGATGGGACTCGAGGGGCGAGATGCGCTCCGAGATGCGAGTCAAAGCTCGATGCTTTTCTCACAATTCACACTGCCATGGTACCAACGGTCTCCGATGATTGTCCAACCTGTCGTCAATCGGTCGTCATGGAGGGGACGCGGATGGGAACGCGCGATAGGGACCCGCGGGAGACTTTCGTCGCACGCGAATCGACCAACGAAACCACGCGCGAGTCTGCTGGGAAAGTCCAGACAAGCAAAACGCCAGGGTACGCCGTTGCTCCCTCCATACTGGACAAGGGGCAACACGGTGTACACCAACCGATACGAATCCATTGTCCACAGCCAGCACGAAGCTTTTGCTCTTACATGACGTTTTCCATGTGCAGCGAGACAACTGAGTGTGGGTCCGGTTTCTTTCCTGCAACGATAGACTCAGTCTTGAGGCATCTTTCCTGGCGCATAAAACGCGGGCGAGTGGTATGGCAAGTACTCCATTCGATAAGTTTACCTCCGTGGAGTTGTAAGCTCCGATAGGGAACGGAAGCGGATGTCGCCCGAACCCGTTCTATGGCCGCGAAGGTGGGCGATCGGCCACAACCGGAACGGGCAACTTTACATTCTGTACGACCAACTTTGTAGGATCTATCTCGTTACAGCACCAGCGCATAGGACAACGCACCAGCACCATCGTCATTCTTGGACATCTTTGCCAGTGAGAACAAGCACCTTCAGTTACAAGCAAATGCTAACGGACGCCGGATACAAACGCGAATGCCGAGTTGAACGTTGCAAAACACGCTATCAGTAGTCCGATGACGTCGTCGGATCAACCTGACCGGGGAACAGGTATCACGTAGGACGTCGATCATTATGGCTTCAACACCTCTCCCAGGACAGGTGCCGCATGTCCCATTGATCCACTGCTTGGTCTACCCATCGTATTTTTGCCTTTTGAATTCCTTCCAGAACTTCACCTTTGGTCAGCCCAGCCACGCACTCTCACTCATGCTCTTCGATGCGATCAAGACGCTCTATAAATTGACATGGGATTTCAAACACGCCGCTGCTTAAGCTAGTTCCTAGCTCTCGCTCTGGCTATTACCCGCCCTCTCAATCTCTTTTGAGCCATGTTTGTTCCTCCTTGTCTACGCGGAGGACGAACGCAAGCACAGCAACAACCCTGTGTGGTCGAATCATTGATAATGATGGTGGCCGAGATCTTGTTCAGGAGGTCACCGAACATCGCGTGTCGATAAACCGACCAACTTGGCAGATATTGCTGGCCGACCCACGCGAGTCGCACTCGATCGCCTCTCGCAGATGCTAGCGGCGATAGCGCTGCGTAAAGGCCGACATGATGTCGGCCGGCATCAGTCTACCGGATCTAGCTGCCTTTTGATGATGAAAGAGGCCGTACCTTGCTTGACACTGGCAAGCTCCAGGTTACTTGTAATGTGTGACGGATCGTTGTCTTCTAGAAGATACACTATGAGTTCCACAAACGCAGAAACTTCATGAAAAAAGCGATGCATTTCCGCCTTGCCAAACCCGTCCGGGACCCAAAGGCAAAGAGGGTTGTCAACGTTCTGAAGACCGGTACATTAAGACACAAGGGTCAATGCCCTGTCTTGTTCTGGCTAGTTTGGCTTGTTGGAGTGGTGACGTTCCAATTGTTTGCTACGGTCTGCTTCCGATCGATTGAACACGTAAACTTCTGTATCTGCCGCACAACAATCCGGTACGTGTTGACCTCTTCTGGATCATCAAAACCTGCGTCCGTCGAATTCACAAGTTACCGCAGGGGACACTCTACAGCCTTTGGGTACCATGACAGGGTGTTCCGTGTCGAGAAATAGTCGAGCGTCTGAGAAGTGACAGAGCACTGCAAACGAAGTATTGCCGCGTACGCTTGACAAGAAGACTCAACCTGTCGTTGGCGTGAGACTTAGCTGTGCCGATTGTCGCGCAAGCGGGTAGATGCGATCGTTGCTCGGCGTACGAATCACATGCGCAACGCTCGTTGTGCTCGCTTTCGGTCATCTTGTAGACTCGCACGTGTCCCACATGTCGACGGTTGGCTGTGGCAATCTACGTCAGTGTAACGCAGTTGAGATTCGATTCACTGAATGGGCGAGAACGTGCAAGAGCAGCAAATTGAGACCGCGACGAGAAAAGATTCGACGCTTATAGTTCTACGACAGCAACCACAACCACCTCGACTGTCCCATGGCGGGTGCCAATACCTTTGAAGATCGCGATCGGTGACTTTCGGAGCGCTGGTTCCTTGTAGCGCCGTCCATAGCGAGCGCAGATCTCGAGCTTCGTCCTGTGGAAGGCACGCGCATGAGGCAGAAGACGAAATTCGATCCGTTTCAGACCAAGAGGTCCACAGAGGTGTTGCCGTTTTAGAATTCCATGACGTCCAGTGTATGCGAGACAACCGCTTTCCAGCGAGCGCGTTTCTCTTTGGACACAAAGCAGTCGTGTAGAGCTGCGAGGGACAAGTGGGACAACGTCGGATCTTGTAAGGACAGACGCCGACGCAGACAAAAGTTCTTAGTAGCGTCCTCCTACTGTCACGACGACTTGTCGAATGCTTTGGAAACGGATCTTCGTCCGAGCTAACAGCAGCGCAGATAGCAAATGCTGCGGTACACATGGAAAGCTCAGGGTCTGCGATAGGACATGTAATACTATGCCAAAGTGTGTGTCCCATTACTCTCAGCTGACCGTAAGTGGACCGTCGCTCTGGACCGCCGGCACTGTGCTGTTCATGAGGTAGTGCCATGTTGCAGAACTGTCTAAACGCGTCTACCACATGACGTTTTGTCACTGACTTTGTAGACAACAGCAAGCAACAGAGGTGCGCATCGGTTCATTCGTGTCACTGGTAGAGTCGATAACGTAACGAGATTCATTCTTTGTGAGTGTTGCGATAGAGACTTACGTCAATCCCAGCACCCTCTGTGAAGCTCGTGTATCGTACGGCGACGAGCTGTCATCCGCATGGATATGTGCTGTGCAACACTTAGAGCGGGGTGACATGGCCACCGCAGTTGTGTCTGCTTGAGGTCCACGTAGCATTACCCAGCGTATAGCAAACCCGTTCGATCAACCTTGTCACAATGGCTGCACGACACCATGTCATCGAAGCAAGCAGACAATGCGCTTTCGCAGCGGATACCGATCGTGGTGGGAATTACTACGGCAAAGAGAGTACGGCTATCCGGTGAAGCGACCGATCACGATGTACACGCTCGTTGAGACTCTAGAGCGCTTCGCCCACTGGCATTTGCACAGGTTTTCCACTGAGATCACAAGCTGCAGCATAGGGACCTCCTGTGTCGAGAAACTGGGTGTGACGCGTGTAGGTACCACCTTGACTCGATGGTGCATTGATCGCGGCTTGTGCGATGCAGTCTTCATGTCCAGCATTCTTCGCCACAACCCGGTAACTGACGCGTACAGTTGCGTCCGACTCCCGCCCAGCTACGGACGCTCTCGACTGTGGCTGTAATCGCGATGTCGGGACTGAGTGATGGCAAAACTGTGGCAGTCGTGTCAGCTGATTCCCAACGGGTACTGCTCCTCATCCGGTGACTTTCTGCGTCACGCCAATGAGTTCTATCGACGTCTTCGATCATTGTAGACGAGCGTATGAGTCGTCGAGATTTGTCCAGTACAAGTGCGAGTGGCAGTCGAGCTCTGCGGAACTGACACAGTTTAGTGAAAATGAGCAGTATCGCACTGAAGAGCCGACAGAAGAGGATGAATGGGTATGAACGTCGAGGTCTTTGCCGCTGCGGCGACGAGCACAGACTTCACCTCGCTTTCCAGCATGAGCATTGTCTTGATGTCACGGTCTTACACGTAGACGCTGGGGCGGTCAGTGCCATTACACATACCTGTAAGAGTGCCTCTGCTCAGTCGCCCTTCGCTGCCAACCTGCTCCGTCAGCTGCTTCGACCCGTACTGCTTCTTTGTGCACACTTACGCGAAGCTCGATGTTGTGGCAAGTGTGCAGATAGTTCTTGAAGTTTTAGATGACACGTTTATCGTTTATCGGTCTCGACATTGCAGCTTTCTTGCAAAGTAATGCGAAGAGATGTCAGCGTGCTTAAACGCTACTGTCGCCGATCATGAACGTCTTGCTTCGTTTTCTTGAGCTAGTTTTGCCTCTGTTGAGCCAGTGGAGGTGTCCCAGTGCCCACGATCTCTTTCTCGCTGCGCTTGGGGCCAAACGATCTCGACCACTTTGCGCCTGGCTGGTATTGTACAGGACTGGATCCAGATGTGGTGACCAGCACGGCGCTATGTGGTCTGCACATTGACTCTGCAACCTATTGAACTCCTTGCACTCTCTGTCTGTTGTGTACCAACAAAGACGTTGTATGTTCTTCTTCTAGTGTGTAACATTGGCATGGAAGAACATGCAGCAAGCGTTGTATGAGTAGATTTGAATAGTAACACCGTGGAGAAGATGGATGCATAGCCGAGCAAGTGCACGAGCAAATGTATACATAAGGCCGTACTGCTGCGAATGCGAGGCAAACACAGCGTGGGCACCCACTCATCGCATTGGCTGTCCACTCGAAGGCCGAAGTGCTCTGTATGTGCAACAAGCCAAGAAAGCGTGGACGGCATACAGGCGACGTAGTTCAACTTTGTCACACTTTCGCTATCTATGCTCAAAAGAAGTGTAAAGATGCTCAAGAGTAGTCAAAGAGTGACGTCTGGCTATCAGTTACGTCTGTGCTCTGTGCTTTATGCCGAATGTCTCGGCAGTTGTTGATCGACCTCGCGGAGTAGAATGTAGCCATACTGAGAACGCCGACCGCGAGTCGGACGACCTTCAGTCAACATAACAACAGCCGAGCCCTTCTTGCACTGCAATCCATCCGGTCGCAAGTGAGAGCTCCAGTATGAAGCTGCTGAAGAAGCAGATCAGCGAGAAAGATGGCGCCGGATCCGTAGTGCTGCGTGCTGAGGAGCCGGAGGATATGTGGCACATGTACAACCTCATCCACGTGGGCGACTCGGTCAAGACGACGACGATCCGCAAGGTACAGCAGTTGCACGATGGTTGTGTGTTTTCGTACTTAAGCGAAACACTGAGTCGGTATCTCGTTGTGTGAAGGTGGTGAAAGAAGGCGTGACGGGCTCTACCAGTAGTCAGCGTGTCCGCATGACGCTGCAAATTGAGGTACGATGCTTTGGTCGGGCAAAAAAGGCCCTGCGTGAGTGCTGAAGTGCTCATATATTGATCAACGGTTAGGTGGAGCAAGTCAACTTTGATCCAGTGCTCTGCGTTCTGCGTATTAGGGGCAGAAATATCATGGAGAGTCAACATGTTCGGGTACGTAGTGCAAGAACAGATGTGTGCCGTCAGGGCAATTGATGCTGAGGACTGATGGATTGACCTGACCCATTTGTATGCAGTTGGGAGCTTACCATACGCTGGACCTTGAGATGAACCGCGACTTCACGTTGACAAAAAGCTGCTGGGATGTCATGTCGCTGGAACGGATAAGTACGGCGTGCGACATTACCAAGCAAGCTGAGCTGGTAGCGGTAGTCATGCAGGTCGGTCTGGCGCATTTGTGCTTTATCAAGGGTGACATGACTGTGATTCGCGCCAAGATCGAGACGAGCGTACCCAAGAAACGTCCAGGCAGCTCGGCTCACGCGAAGGGCGCAGAAAAGTTCTATGCGAACATTGTGCGCTCCATCCGCCAGCACATTGACTTTACGCTCGTAAAGTGCGTGCTGCTGGCTAGTCCCGGATTCGTCAAAGACGACTTCTTCAAATTTATGGTTGAGCAGGCTGTCCGTCAGGACGACAAGCTCATCCTTGATAACAAGCCCAAGTTCATATTGTGTCATTCGTCGTCTGGCCACAAGCATGCGCTTGACGAAGTTCTCAACGACCCTGCACTTCAGTCGCAAGTGAAGGACACAAAGGCCGTTGAAGACGTCAAATGCCTGGAGCGCTTCTTCAACATGCTCCACGTTGATCAGGACCGCGCGTACTATGGCTACAAGCACGTTGTTCGTGCCAACGCGAACATGGCCATTGAGACGCTCATGGTCACGGACTCGCTCTTTCGTTCGCAGGATTTGGCGACGCGGCGCAAATATGTTGACCTCGTGGAAAGCGTGCGCGATAACGGTGGCACGGTGCGGCTGTTCAGTAGTTTGCACGTGTCGGGCGAGAAGCTCAGCCAAGTGAGCGGTATCGCTGCTATCCTGCGCTTCCCGATGCCTGAGATCGATGACGAGGACCAAGACGGCGCGTCGACTTCCGATGAGGAAGAAGGCACGGGGGAGGACAGCGGGGTGAGCGACTTGGCGGCCGTAGCTTGAAGTGTGCAGAGAGTCACCGCGTCGTCGATGGGGAAGCAGGAAGCAGGACGCACCACTGCACTCATGATGAAAACGACGGCATTGACTCTGTTTCTAGCTGCTTGTGTTGTGTTGGACGACAAGATTGGACACGCGCTTGTCGAACATCTGCGACGTCAGACGTTCCCCCAACGGAGCAAACGGGTTCGACATGGCGTTCACGTACAGCCGATGCACCTCCGCCAAGAACTGCCATTGTCCATTGTCCATTGTCGCCATTGACACGACACAACGCACACGGAAAACACACACACGCAGTCAGAACGAGTGCAGTCAGCCGCTTTCGGGTCCAATGGAGTGCCCGACTCACCGCTCGGAGCTCTGGCTCACGCACGGGCGCGTCTTGCATGACCACGACAAACTTGACCGACGTGTTGGTCACGTAGCCGTACACCCGGTAGTCCTCAATGGGTCCAAGGAAGCCCACGTACATGTCGTCCTTGGAGCTGCTGACGCTCGCGGTCTGCAGCTTTTCTTCGATAATGTCGAGCGACACGTGCGCGACGTAGTGAAAGCCCAAATCTTCGCTCTCCTGGCCGAACGTGCGGATGTAGAGGGGACTGTTCTGCACGGACACAAAGCGGATACGACCACATGTGAGGTTACCGTTCTACGCGAGCTGTGGGGAGGAGGCGTTTGCGGCGATGTGGGGTGGCGCAGTGGAGGCGGCAGGCGACGCACCGCTGCTCCGATGACTGCGATGCAGGCGATCATGGCGCGAAAGGTGGCACGAAGGTGAGGTCGAGAGCTGGGATGACTGACGTAGAGTGCGTCACGACTGTGCGTTGGGTGACTGGATGAACGAGTGGGTGAATGGGGGAGTGGGTGAGTGGGTGATCGGGTGGGTGATTGAAGTAAGCCCATTTGTCGTTAATTGGGCTTTACGACTCAGCATCGCAAACGATAGCGACGATACTCGTCTGACAAGTCATACTACATTCCCTGTCAGTTGTAGGTCGCTCTTACACCCTCATGTAAACACTGGGCATCAACAATGTATCAATGAGCTCTGCATTGACGTCGTTCGCTCAGTGCGTCCCGTCTTCTTTTCATTGCGGTCTCAATGCCGGTCGTATCTGTCGATACATATCTATGCAGTCCAGTCGAATGCATCATCCTGATCGTACAAAGTAGACGAGACACACCGCGAATCAAACACATTCTGCTGGTTGCGTTTCGTCGGCGTGGTGTTCGCCTACTCGATTGAGCTGTGCGACCAGCAAAGCAGTGCTCGTATATAGCGCCCGCACCCACTCGTTCAATGCCCAATGTCTTCATATCAATCCGACTGACGTTAGTGCTGGAATGCAAGGCAACAAGCGTTTGTATGCAAGGCAACAAGCGCTTGCATGCAAAGCCTAGAGGGTAAAAGGGCAGTCTCGTGTCGACAGGTTCAGCCATTTTCGTCCGTGACAAAAGCGCATCACGTCTTATGGACGTTCCTCATTAGGTTACATTGCCCGTACATCCTCAGGCGAGCAGACCTACTTCATAACGGACGTCGCTATGTTACGAATGTACCAGTTCTGACGCGGCTGCTTTCACTCATTCCGCTCTTTTCGACCACTCACAGCGCGGCGGCTCCTGCCCAACAGTTTCCAACATGACCGCACATGCTGCCAAGAAGCTGAAGATGGCGCACGAGTCGGTCGACGCCAGCGCCGACGTCGGCGCAGCAATCACAACGACAAAAGACGTCGGCAGTGGCAGTAGCGATGACGAAGACGACACGGGCTCGTCGGCGATTGCTCAGTTCCAGAGCGAAGACGTGCGTGCGAGTCAATACGTTTATGCACTGAATGTCATCGATCTAACTCTATTGCCTGTGCTTGTGCACCTCTTTGTGGATAATAGGGCACTGCTGTCGGGCCGCAGCTGGAGATCCCCATGTCTTCGAGCACTCGACAGATGGAGGAGCTGGTCAACGAGCTGCTGCAAAATGGCAAGCACCGCGTGCCCTACTCGCTCTTTATTGGCGAGACGGAGATCACGACGTCGCTCAAAGATACAGTGAAGGAACTGGTGTGTAGCTGCTGCGAATGCTGTGGCGGGATGCTGGTAGCGAGAGATAAGCTGCTCACTATTGTTGCGTCGTTGTGGTGGTCGTAGCAATTGTCGGTGGAAACAGCGTTGACCATCACGTTCCAGCCGCTGGCGATCTTCCGTGTACGTCCGGTAACCCGGTGCAGTGACACATTGCAGGGACATGCAGAGGCTATTTTGCACGTGAGTTTCAGTCCGGATGGGAAGCGACTAGCAAGCGGAGGTGGCGACGCGACGGTGCGCTTCTGGGACACGAACACTTGCATGCCAAAGCATACGGGTCGTGGCCACAAGAACCACGTGCTGAGTACCGCGTGGTCGCCGGATGGGGTGCGTTTCGCGTCGGCAGATCGAAACGGAGAGATTCGGCTGTGGGATCCGCTCACGGGCAAGCAGATCGGCCAGCCCATGAAAGGCCACAAGCAGTGGGTCAACTCGTTAAGTTGGGAACCCATGCATCGCAACAGCACATGTGAGCGTTTTGCCAGCTCTTCGAAAGATGGGTCGATCAAGGTGTGGAATGCTCGCACAGGACGTTCCGTTGCTTCGCTATCGGGACACACGGATTCGGTGGAGTGCATCAAGTGGGGAGGCGAGGGCTTATTGTACAGTGCGTCTCGTGACCGTACAATCAAGGTCTGGGCGATGGAAGGTGATCACGTGGGCAAGCTCGTGCGTACACTGATTGGACACGGCCACCGTATCAACACGCTGGCTCTGAATGTCGACTACGTGTGTCGTTCGGGCCCGTTTGGCCACAAAAGTAAAAGCTTTGCATCGCGTGAAGAGATGCAAGAAGCGGCTCTGAAGCGATACGAGGAGGTACGCAAGGGCCAGACGGAACGTCTGGTGTCCGGCTCGGATGACTTCACGCTGTTCTTTTGGGAACCGTCGGAGAGCAAAAGGCCGTTGGCTCGTCTGACTGGTCACCAGCACCCAGTGAACCACTTGAGCTTTTCGCCGGACGGCCGATACTTTGCCAGTGCCAGTTTCGACAAGAAGGTCAAGATTTGGAATGGTCAGACAGGGAAGTTCATTGCTACTCTCACGGGCCACGTCGGTGCAGTGTACCAGGTGTGCTGGTCTAGCGATGCGCGACTGGTCGTGACAGCAAGTAAAGACTCGACCGTAAAGGTGTGGGAGTTGAGCAATTTGAAGAATGCCAAGTCGACGCTGTCGGGTCACGCTGACGAAGTGTACGCTCTGGATTGGAGTCCCAACGGTGACATGGTGGCGTCGGGTAGTAAAGACCGCACGATCAAGATGTACGTGCAGTGTGTTGCTCGGGCGAACGGTTTGTACGTGTGGTGGTCTCTAATGTTCTCGTGCTTTTGTCTGCATGTTGTGGTAAAGCTGGAAACACTAAGCTCAATGAATGTATGGGTTTTGCAAAACAGAACAACTAGGAAGTTGTAGTCTATTTTTAGTTTTCGGTGCCGTAAACTGAAATCGAAAGAGCGAGTCGCACTGTACCACATATATTATGTACCCCGCCGCGTCCCGCCATCATTTAGGATTTTAGCGCGCTGCGCCACTTAGGAATCCGATTATGAAACGATCCCGAGACCATCACGAGGCGATGAACGAGTTTGACGTGGGTCCAACGTCTTGTTCTCCGCTACCCCCATGTGCCTCCATGTCGCCCTGGAAACCACCGCACTCGTCTGTAAAGCGCTGTCGTGACCGCTCGGTACCCGTCGGTACGTACCTTTTTTCGTCCGTTCTAAATCAGCGCGTGCTTTCGTACTAGATCTGACACGGTTCTATTGCACGTCGATAATCAGACGCACTAAGTCGCATGATGTCAGCAGCTGTCACTCACGCGCGGATCAAGAAGCACAGCAGCATCGGACAGCTGTTTACCGGCAAGCAACAAACGCCACAGACCTCTTGTGCCGTGTGCAAAGGGGCGCGGAAGGCTACTGCGAGCCAGCGGCCGATCTGCGACATGGCGCGCTGCGCCCATTGCGAGACTATAATGGGCGACTGCTGTCGCTACGAGTGCGACGCGTGTCGCAGCGTCTTTTGCTCCATGTGCTCGACAGTGAACTGTGACGAGCTCTTCGATCGCGTCTTTTGTCTGTCGTGCAATCAGGAGCAGACAAAGAGGTAGTGCGAAGGAGCAGCAGCAGTAGCAGCAGAAGTAGCAGCAGCAGACGCTCTTTTTCTCGTCGTCGTGTTGGGCCTAAGTGGTAATCGTACACTATGGGGATGTACAAGACGTGGGAGTTGACGATTGTGTCGCCTAACAGTGCTATAGTGGAAGTCGCCCGTTCTCGGAGACCACGAGATCGATGGAGCTGGGGCTCGAGCACTTGGACCACATCTGCAGCCACGGAGTGAACGTCCTTGTGGAGGAGGGAGACGCAACTGTCTACTACTCTCTGCACCTCTTTGTATTGCCGAAAACTGCTTGCAATACTGTTGTTTGGAGGGAACGTAATGTTGAGCAAAATGGGGCTGCTCCATTGCGTGACATTGCGATAGTTGTTGATGTCTACGTGAATGATGTCTTGGCTGAAGGCATGCAGCGATGTTACCTAAAGCGGGTACAGCTATATGTGTCATTGTTGAATGTTTTCGAAGGGAATCTTGTCGGTGAAGGTAACATGCGGCTATTGTCAACATTGCGGGGCTTATGGCTGATACAAGCCAGACATCGACAACAGCAAAAAACAACGACCTACTGCAGGACGCGCGTTACAAGTGGTAAGCTGAATGTTGGCGTCCATGTTTGTACAATTTGAAGTAGTTGACGCGAGCCTTTCGAATGGATTGTAATACGACTTACCTCGAGTAAAATCGATCTTTTTCATTCAGTTGAGACTGTCACTGTAGTTGACCGCCCTTTGTCTGCACGTTGCCCCATATAAAATGGTTGCAGCACTTGTGTAGAGTTGATCAAATCTGCACTCGTGCAAAGATAGCAGAAGTTAAGTAATATGTATTGAGTGTTGACTTTCGTTGTCAACACTACAACGTGCACTTGACCACGTCAAGTGCACATAGCTTACGTCCAGTTCAGTCCGCCCATCATCTGCCGCGTCCGACTCCTCTTCCCCACACGTCATGACATTCTGATGGGGTCCGACATGACGACCGCATCACTGAACAGCCAATCAGGTCAAGTCGGAACGTGCCTACAAGAGGTCTTGCCCTTGAACCTCATCACCTTCATGAATTGTCAGAAACAACATGAACAATAAACGACCGTGTGTACTACGACGGTGCAGGTTCGTAAATGAAGTCGAGCTCTGTCTGAGACCTTGACTACCCGGTGCGGCATAAACACATATGATAAACGAAGTATACGCATTATATGAGATGCGCTGCGCAGCGCGGATGGACAATGACATGCGGGCCCGGTCATCCTCTCCAGTAGCATTTCCGTTACCATCAGTGTGCAGCACGCAGACAAGTATAGTGACGATCAGAGTTGCGGCCTCATGTTCTTGTAAAAAGTATTGCAACGCTGCTGGTCTTTCATGTGGCTGTGCAGCTGAACAACGCTTGGAGGGGCACGTATATGAACTCGTCGGCCTATGTGAGACTTTGCAACTAGTGTTTCACTCATCTCCACAGATTGTAGAGCGTTATGAGTATGAGGATGGTGCATGGCGGTTAGTAGCTCGTGTAATTTGCGCATTATATCGTTAGCCTAGACATACCGCCTGCAGTTTTTCTGTGTACGTACAATAGACAGGTGATATCGCCTTTTCATTCAACGGGTGCTGACTTCGATTCCTGATCGGTTGGAGCAATGTGAAGGGCATGCACATGATTATCAGCATTCTGTTCATGCGCTCCGCTTCAAATTTAGGGTGTGAGATGGCTTTGAAGATCGGATGGGACCGGATGGGGTCGTCGACACATTTATCGTTAGCGTATCGACCGGAAATGGTCCATCCACTGACCTTCTTCGCTAGTGTCAATAACATGCAACATAGTCACCCCGCTGCATTAGCGATGTGTTCCAAGCGAAATAGGAGGCCGCCATTAGCACGATGAAAGCCTTCTCATGATATCGATTGGAAACCAATCTTTCATACATATAGGTATGAAAATATGTGTTTGCAAACTTCTTGCTCATCCCTCTAGACGCGCGTTGTGCAAAGACGATTGTAGCTGGGCTTCTGTGTCACCGAAGTGTCTTGCAACTTGCAGAATGGATGATAGCGAGTAAATCGAAGCGGAATCCTTGTGTGGAATGGTGAGTTTTTTTTGTTCTGACACGTGACGGTTCCAAGACCGATCCAACGCTAGACATAGTGGATAGAGCAGCATCAGCAGTCCTGTGTTTGTCTACACTAGCCCATACCTTTCTCATTGTCAACTCGACGTGTCAATGGACGTTGTGATGTATTGTCAATAAACATGCACTGCAGATGTCGTACCTAGGAGTACCTTGCTACAAACGAGTCAATGTGTAGCGCCGTCACCATTGATGCAATCGCCGATCCGGTGGTGTGGTCGTTAACACGATTGCAGTCAGACCTGAGGCTCGTGAGCTGATGCATACATAAGGCTTGTGGACCGATCGAAGATTTATCGGAAGGACACTAAGTGAACGACAGCATGCGCTCGACGTAAAAATAGACATTAGGACACTAAGAGATATCTAGTATCAAAACATACGTGCTGTTTTGCTGACCAAATCGAGGGGTCCGGACGAATGGGTCGCGCGCTGCGTATCTAGGATACTATGATGCGCTTCATCGGTCTGTGTTGTTTTCGTATCTCGTGGCATAAGGCCAGTCGAGATAGACCAGCTGAGCGGCTCCAGCGCGCGTGTGAGGATCATGCGGAGAATTTTCGAACTCACTATCTATTTTCGATCAAGACTTGCAGAGTCACGAGGTGACGGGTGCACCACCCTCAACTCTGTCGATTGCTTGTACATGTGATCACTATCGCTCGGCATTTTGGCGATTTGATCGTTTTGGTACGTTGTTTCACGAAAGATACCACAAACACCGGATATTGTATGGACATCGTTCTTGCGTGGGTGAGCGAACGCGTTTGCAACAAACATTGGGTTCGTCAGCAGTCTGGACTCCTATCAACAAGCGTGGCGCTACATTGTCTAAGGCAATGTGCGTGCGATAGGCGTCAGTGGAATTCTGGATACCGAGCAATGCTTGCGAGTACTCGAGCAGTGTGTAGACGACGTTTTGCATGTTGATGAGAGATGAAATTAAAAGTAAATCGACTCCATGATGCGACTGAGTGGATCGTGGGTTGGGACGAACATCCCGTGCTGAGACGAGGCACCACGGATGCCGTCTTGCGGCGTTTTGTCTTGTGCTAGGAAGCTGGTCGAATGGGCCGCGCTGATGCTTGGGTCGTGAGTCGGATCCGGTACTGAGTACGGATCCACCACCGAAGGTGGCTCTTGCGGCTAGAAGCAACCATGACAACACCAGTTTAGTTCATGCATCATTAGCGACGATCTGCTGCATGCGTTGCCAAACCTGGACAGGAAGCCACGTCGAGTCGGCACGAGCAGTACGGACTCTAGAGTTTGTACGCAGCGGCTCAAGTGTCGAGCGTTGAAGCTGCATCGACTGAATGTGCCGTGTCTCACGAGGAGCTGCAGCAAGTGGAGCCATTTTGTCGCTGGAGCTTTCCTTCGTACCACATGTCGACGACACCTGATTCTGTGACGAGGCAGTATCGTTCCACCTAAATCGATCCAAAGGTCCGCTTGTCGTGGTCTGCCGCTTGCCACGTGCTCGTTTTCGCCTGTTTTGCTGTCTATTTCCTTCACTGTTTCTTTTTCGCAGACGCTTTGGCTGCGACTGAGAGTGGATCGGTCTTGGAAACGCGGCCGCCTGTTTTCGACTGCAACCGCTGTTTTGTTGCTGTGCTTTTTCAAAACGCGGTAACGCGGATGCCCCGTCTGACTGCTGACTTCGTTGCTGTCCAGTTGCTGGCACAAGTCGAACTGGTTTTGAAACGGTACACGGAAAGTCCTCAGCTGGCAGCGCGCGTTTCACGTGCTGCAGGTATCGGTCCATGCGCTGCTGCTTTGCCTTTGTCTGGTGCGTCGTCAGCTTTTTAATGTACCGGAGGATACTGCTGTCTCCCTTCGTATTGTCATAAGAAGGGTCAGAGGCGTTCTGCGGGACTGCGCTCTGCTGCCGCATCATTGTGGACGTGGCAACGAAGCGTTCAATTGCAAAGTGATGGTCAAACTTCAACGTCAACTTGCCTGCTGGCGCCCTTCTGACGAAACCAATGTAGCTATCAATCGACTTCTAACGATTAAACCACTTCTTTTTGCCTTTTGACTTGCATCGGCTATAGACAGCAGCAGCTCGGCGTCCTCGTCGAGAAATCGTGAGCGACGTGAGCGAAGAGCTTGGCGCCACCGAGCTTGGCGGTTTCCACGAGTCCAGCAACGAGTAGCGCCGGTCAGTGCTCATGCTGCCTGTTGCCTCCGATGGCGCGTTGCTTGGCGCTTGTGACTGTCGATGGGTCGCTGGCGCTTGGGAGTCGTATGTATTGCTCACGTTGATGCTGCTCATGGGAATACCGCCGCCGCCTCCTCCAGCAGTAGCAGAAGGCAGTCCGTTCGTCCTCATGACGCTGTCGTTCTCTGGCTCAAAAGGGACACTTCCACGACGTGAACGCGTAGCAAAGATGTCCTCGTCATCGATGTGCTCGTCGTACTCGGCTGCCTTCTTCGAGTGATACTGAGAGTCGATCGGTTCATACCGAGCTCCCAGCGTCGAGTAGCGATGCGATGTTGGAGATGGCAAGGGCGAATCACGCGCATATTCACCCTTGTACTGGAAGCTTCGAGGTGCGATAGTCGTGTCTCCTACCTCTACTGTACCGTCCGTAAAGTTAATGCTCTTCGGGGGAGCTTGGATAAACGTACCATCTATGTCGATTTCACGGTCATCAGGTGTCCCTTTGATATCGACACGGATGGACGGCTCTCTCTCTCCATCCACATCGAAGCTTCGAGTGCTGGCGATATCTGATAACCGCTCGCTCGCCACATCCACGTTGTAACTCGGCGTACGCAACTTGTGCAAATCGGCCGGTTTCATGGTCACTGCAGTCGCGTCTGTTTGTGGCTTCGCTTCAGGCTGCCCAGTCACAGTCGTGTTTCGGAGCGTCGACATTCTGCTCTCCAGCGTGAAGTTGTGCCAGCGTCCCATCAAGCTACGAGATAAATGCTTCACCTGGGTTTCCTTCGGTTCTTCAGCGTGGATGATGCGCAACACACGGTTCACGTTGGACAAGAGAGAAGCTTCGACCTCATCCTTGTTTTCTACCATCCCCTCCAAGAATGCCAGCATTTGGGGATAGTACATGAGGTCTTTCAACCAATAATCGGGATCCTCCTTCGTCTCGCATTCTGTCAATGCCGTGTTGCGTGCTTCCAACACACGACGGAGCACTTTCAGTATGTTCGGAATGTCCGGATGCTTTAGCGTGATCCGGCAGATTAGCAGTTCAACAAAGTCTTTCGAAGTCATTTCCGGAAACTGCACCAAGCGCCGCGCGACACGTAAAATGCAGCGATACGGGAAGCTTGTGATCAAATGCTGATTGCAGTGGCGTACGAGCTTCACGATTTGTTCGGGTATGCGATCATTAGCAATGTTCTCGTCAATATCAAGTGATGCCCGCAGAATATGCGTTATCGCAATCGTGTACCGGTCAATTTCATCGACAACCGCTTGGAGGTCATCCGGCGGATTTTGCAGATCAAAGCCCATTAGCTTGTCCAGTTGAGTTCTCCATATCTGGAAAAGCAACTCCAAATTATATGCCGGATTGGTCAGTTTGTCTGGGTCCGGTCGAGACAAGAAACGATCGATATAAAGACCTGCCACAAAATTTTGCGGAAGCGGGATGAAGTCAGTCTCGTCGTCGAGCAAAACCGAGTCCCGCTTTGCTATCGACCGTTCCACTCGATTTCGACAAATGATTGCATCGACCTTCTTACGTACTTCGGTTCGCCTGTGAGAGTTCCAAATCAAATCACTCTTCTCGTGGTTGTCGTCAAAGAACCGAGTCGCCTTGTTCGGATCCAAGTGAATTTGGTATACAATTGCGTACGGAAGGAAACGGCAAAGCGCCCGATACATCTTCTCTCGCAAAGCTATGTCTTTCGTCAATAGTGCGTACAAAACTTCAAATGCAGGTTCCCGGAGAGCTTCAGCTCGAAGAAAGTGCTCATGAAGGACGTGCTGCCTGGACTGAAGTGCGATTCCCAAGACCTCAACCCACAGTCCACTCATCTCGATGTACTCGGCTATTGCAAGACATGTGTCACATAGCTCAGCCAAGCAGGACAGGGCATAGAAAGCTTGCTCGTAGTCGAGATGATCCGTAATCACCTGAAGACACCACGTAAACTGGCAGAAAGGCGCCAACATCCGTTCTAGGTTACAATCGAATCCACAGATTTTGTTCAAAATAAGCAGCGCAAGCTCTTGACGAGCCAGATAATCCACGTTGCCAAACTCGGTTTCCATTGAAGCAGGTGTAAGATCATACCCGGTTTTGGCATTGAATCCGTATGTCGACAGTGATCGACGAGACGAAATCGAAACTGCTTTCGACTTCGCATCGCCATCAAATGGAAGCAAATATCTACCCAGTGTGGCCACCGAAACCGAAGCGTTCACCGGGTCCACATCATCGACGTGTTGCTCTAAGCACTCCACGATGGCAGGCCTGAATGCTGGCAAGTCGCAAAGAAGACTCAAGCAATCCAACGCCGGAAGTGTGTCAGAATAAATGCCGAGCTTAGGATCTCTGTTCTCGTTTAAGAACAGAAAAAGAGACTCCACGAAGTCAACAGCTGTGGTCGGATACAACATATCTTCAGTTATTGCTGTGGGGTTCCCCTCCGACTTTTCCAGCAAGATGAGCAAATAGATACCTCCAACAAAAGGTTCCGCGCTTAAGCAGTCATACATGTGGTTCGAGGCGATCTCCAGAAAGGACAATATGTCGCCATCAGAATCAGTACAAAACTCTTCCGTGAGCTCAGAAAGTTCGGCTCGCGTACTTTCGTTCCAGATACACGTTGGTTCACGAATGTTTGACAGTAGAATGGTACAAAAATCATGCCCACTAGGCTTTTCAAGACAGTTTAGGAAGTCCATCGGAAGGAGATTTGCTAACGCATCAAGCCCTGCAGATCTGCTTCTACCGTCTGGACCCAAAGCTAGCGAACGAAGAGATCCAAAGGCGCTTTCCAACATCTCAAGTTCTTGCTTCTCCAATGCCGTCGCACTTCCCCGAGTCCTATCGATTCCTGACGTACTCTCAGCTGACGCCAAAATCAAATACAGACCTTTCCAGAAGACTCGTGTGGAGGTCATGATTTGTTCTTGAACTACACGGCTCCGGCAAAGCGATGACGCAATATCAAAGGACATCTTCTGGATATGCCATGGCTGGATGTTCTCAAACGAGAGAATGACATCATCGAGCAAGGAATATACACTCTGAGCGTGTCTAGACCTGCCTGGTCCTTTCTGTGATGCGTACTCGGTCGCGGTAAAAAATGAAGTATTCTCATCATCTCCAAAGGCAGTAAATTCAAACCCCTTGGACGGTGGCGCCTTCTCAGATGATGCACTGTTGCCCCCCAAAAGTGACTCGACCCCCTCTTCAGAAACAAGTAGTAGCTGCAATATAGAAAACATACTTTCTTTTGCTGCCACATCGTGTCCATAAGCACAGCGTTCCACCAAGCCGAGAATCGTTTCCCAACAGCCGTCGATCTCAACCAAAAGCGGGCCATTTTGTGGTGCGAGATGGAGCAGTCGCTGCAGCACGTTCATCGCGAGTGTTCGAAACTTAGAATCCCCTTTCGATTGAGATGACAATACACTAAGGAGCAAGTCCAGCGTCGAAGACTCGTATGAAGAGAAATGGAAGCCGTATTCGTCCAATAACCGAAGTTGGGAGCGCAGTATGTGCTCACGGACTTCGTCTGACGTTCTCCCACCATCCGCTTCATTTTTACGCTCAATTGCAGCACAAATTGAGTCAAATGCATGACGGACGGTATCCATTGCAATCCCTTGTCGACACAGCTCCCGGTAACGTCTGCGTAAATCTGACAAGGAGTAAGTCACGTCTTCTTTCCAGCCAAATATCCTGCAAGCATCCGAGTGATCCATAGTCTCTTCCGTACCATCAACTTGGCGCCGAGTGAAGTACCTCCACTTTTCCTCAACACTCTTCATGAGAAACACAGGATTCTCGACCTCTTCGTCATCAGAATGGCTTCGATTAAAGGCCGACAGGTAGAAACCACTGCAGTACACATCTCCTGATAACTCCAAATAAGAGATCGGAGGAATCGGAGTGTAGCTGTACTTTGCCGCAACGTTTTCCTTCAAATGCTCCTTGAACTCGTTCAAATGCTCATCCATCATTTCTTGCAAATGGATCCTCATATTTGAGGACCACAAGACTCGCTTGTCGTGCGCGCGACCACTGTACACATCGGCAAAGCGTTCAGGGGTATCTGAGTCCAAGACCGATATGAGGGATTCCGGCAATATGTCAACCAAATAGCTTCGTCCTGCTTGTCGCTCCAATGACCGCTGAGTGCGATGAATCCGTTGCAGCAAAGTTGCCTCTGGCAAAAAAGCAGGTACGTTTTCAGATCCTTTCAGGTTAGCAGCCGTGGAGAAAATGAAGTAAAATACTCCGTACTTGTACATTTCTTGCAATTCCACTTCGTCAAGAGACATGAGCATCTCGCAGACGTATCTCCGTACACTGGCGTTATTCACTAGCAGAAGCTGAACGATAAGGGCCAATGAAGACGCATTAGCCAAGACCGTGCTCATCAACGGAGGCGGCCACAGCGTTGACTTTCCAGAATGGACTGCGCCTTGATCTTTGACCATAAAGTTCCTCAGCGTTTTCAGTGCGAACGCCGCGCAATTTGTGTCAATAGGCTCATCAGTAAGCTCCATCCACCGCAACTCTGGATACTCAAACATCGACTTCCAAGTATGCTCAGTACCACCAGCATGCGATGAGCAGCAGCATACGTCGAGTGCGCTGATTTGATGGTATCGGGTAAATGAATGAGCGTCCAGGAATTCCTTCAGCCCGTTTGCTGAATACGGTCCGTTGACCGCACTTCCTTCTTCTGTGTTCCCCACAGTTTTACACTTTATGCTCCATTTCAAAGCAAATCTTGACTCGTTGTACAACGACAGTTCTGCTATCGGCACGGTAGAGCTCTCATCAAACTCGGACATCGTCATCGAGTCCATTATTGGAATATCGCCTTGACCTCTACTGGTTGGGCCGCTTTTAACCAGCTCTGTTGGACGCCTGTGTGAAAGTATCGACATTTGCAGCAGCACTTGGATGTGGTTCGTCGTGCACAGCTCGGCACTTGCCTCACTAGACAAACTGACGCAAGACATCAACTCCACGATGTCTTGTATTTCGCTCATCAAATACGAATTTCGTAGCAGCTCGGTAAGAAAGCGTGCTCTGTGTTCCGTAACTGACCGAGCTTCTGGGAATACACGTGCTAACTCGATCAAAATTTTCAGCATCGTGTGACCATGCTGCTCGCTTCCGAGCGCTTCAACATGTTGCGAAAATCCATTGCTTCCGCTTGCGGACCAGTCGCACGTTCCTGATAGAGGAATATTGTTCAAATGAAGATGCTCCAGCCAGCATTGGTAGACCTCGTTGAAAAACGCCGCTGGGTTTTTAGCAATGTCTACGCTTGCAAAAAAGAGACTGCTCGACTTCGTGAGTTTTCCTGCGTGCGTCCCAGCTTCCATTGCACGGACAGTATTGCCAACTTCAGCCAATTTCAACGACCCGTCATTTATCCGTTTCATGATAACACGAAGATAGAAGCGGTCAACTCGGAGCTCCTGGGCAATGCTTTTGTATGTCACAGAAAATCGGGCGTGGTTCCATTTGATCTCGCTACCTCCTTTTCGAGAGGCAACTAATGAAATCACAGCTGCTTGGTCCACTTTGTGTTGATCAAATTCTTCAATCGCCGACTTGAGTGCAGTCTCCAATTCAGTCCGTGTGTGTTCATTCCAGATCAAGTCAGGCAGCAGAAAGTCTTTGCTGATCATACTCGACAGCAAAGCCATGTCTGTAGATGATTCGCCAGAATAATTCATGTGCAATAAATCTTCCTTCCCTCGACTTTCAGACGTAAAGCCACTCGAAAATATCGTTCCGATTTGGAGCTGCATGCGACGAATGAACCACTCGGACCCATCGACTTGGTTCAGAAGCTGATGTTTGCTTCTCCTCCGCACAGACTCGGTCTTCCGGGCTCGCTGCTTCTTTAGCAATTTACGAACCATCGGGTCTGATATCATTCGAATGAACCCATGAGGGAGCACTCTCGCAAACATTTCGTGAGAGGCTTTATGATGAGTCACCCATATGCTTGCAATGTACTGATATGTCTCCTTTGCGTTATCAGCAGGGTGAAAAAATGCCTTGTACAAATGCTTCACAGTGAGACCTGATTCCAAGGCGACGTCACAAATACGTCGGCGAATTTTGTGATGGCCATTGTCAACAAGCACCTTCAAGACGCAAATAACCGCTGCAGCCAATCCTGCATTCGAGGTTCGAGCCGCTAACTCGATCAACAGTAAGTACTTTCCCCCCAGTGCCTTGATAATGGCATCAAAGTGAACAGTATCGGTGCTATGGCGAGAAACGACCAGCACATCCAAGACGAGTTCCAGCACCGCGAGAGTAGAGCTTGGATTGCGTCGATCCAGTAGATCAGTTAGCAGCACAATCAGCTTCTTGTGATCGAACACCTGACTGCGAATAGCTTTTTCAGCCGCGTGGTGTGCATTCGATCGCGATTTGTCAGTGACTAGCGAATGTAGCGCATCCAGTGCCCACACCGTTGCAACGGGGTCACCAGAAACCAGTATTTGAGCCAACGTTGGAACGATGATCATCGCACCGCCGTTTGACTTCTCCATTGAGATCCGATAACAGCCGTCATTGATGCGACAAAATGCTTCCAGGATGACACAAATATCGTTTGTCCGGATCGGCGGCTTGCAAGAATACTCGAGCTAGTCGAACAAGAAAACAAATGACTGGATGTTAGCTCGCGTATAGTACAGCACAATCCGGGGTCACGTACCATATTATGAATCCCCGCGAGCAAATGGCTAAATGACAGCTTTTCTAACCGTCCACGCATAGATTGTTTAGTGAAGTCGCTCAATTCGACATTCATGTTCAAGTTTTCGAGTGCGAACGCGACTCTATTCGTCGCCGAAACGATGCTGGCTCCTTCTGCATTCATCATTTCAAACTCTTTCTCCACTGCCGCGTGTGCTGGGATGTATAGTCCATTATTGTTGCAGTAAAGAAATCGCTCACTCTCGTCACGTAGCAACATTCTCGTAGACATTCTCGGGTTCAAGTTCGAAAACTCTCGGCGTAGCGATACGTCATAATTGTCAACGCAGCGATATCCATCGTATACTGCGGCCAGAAACTTTTCAATATCGTATGGCACGTACGTAACACGGCTGCAATCCAAAAACTCCAACACAACCACAGCTTGCACATCGCCTCCTTCCGACGCAGGCACTACCACACGCCGCAAGTTTTTCAGATCGTACACTTTTTTCGAGCAGTTCGTGAACTCTTCGATCGTTCCATCCACAAAGCATAGCTTTCTCTTTCGTAAGTGTGTGGACCCATGGCGGCCCGTCAATCTCTGGACATCAAACAGATCGTTCGAATGGAACTTGGATTGGTCCAGCGGCTTTTCCATCGGCTGCTTTGGAAGCTTCTCCTGCATCCTTAGCCGGATATGAATTCCAACAACACCAGCTAGTGTCTTCATCTTCTCCACAATCTTGCCACTTTGGTCCGAGTAGATGAACTTCAACTTACTCTTCATCGTAACGACAAAAGCATCCGGATTTGTCTTCGTTTCAATTATCTCTTGGACTGACCGGTACTCGAATTCTTGGGTGCGCTTGCTAACACTTCGCACAGAAACTAAGGCTCGGGGCGTCAAATAAAGCCGAGTTCTTTCCCTCTGTCCATCTGCCGTACCGATGAATCCACTGAACTGACAGCAATCAACTTTATATACGCGCTTGAACTCCTCAAAGTTACCCGCCAAGTGACTCATAAGCTCCTGCAAAAAGGTGTTGCGACATCGATAACGAAGACGCAAAAACTTTGGGTCATCATACTGATCGATCCTCATCTGCAAGGAGCCCCATTCTGCCTCGAGAAACTGCCGATATTGTCGCAAGAGCACTGCTGGATTCTGCACAACCACCGCGCTAGCTGGGACGCCAGACAAACCACCGGAGGAAGACGCAGACGCAGACGAAGAGAAAGTATTGTTTCGATTCGCCAAATACGTGTTTCTTCGCGATGAAAATGTCAAAGGACGGTTTGACGGCGGAGCAACACCCTCCCGCTGGCTACTAGAGCCAAACTTTAGCATCTCGCCAAAGCTGAGCGTTTGCTGAGGGATCTTTCCATCATTCGACCGCACTGGAAATCCCATGTTACCGAAATGCAGACACGCCGGATTCTTTGTCATTTTACTCAAAATGGCCACACAGGCTTCCACAGTAGCCAACCCCGGAAAGCTGAACAGAATTCGGAGCAACATTCTGTATTTCGTTGCCAAATGCTGGTAGAGCGTTTCCAAAACTTCTGGCGGCTTCTCACCATTCGCCTTCACTAACAACAGAATCAGCTGACACAATTTCATGGTAGGAAGATCCGACAAAAACAATCCCGTCTACGCAACACGAAAGAAACAGCATTAGCATGTCAGTAATCGCCACCCATTTCTCGTGACGCTGCTTGAACTCACGCGAACATCTTCGTCCAGCAGTGCAAGTAGTGCCATCATAAAGACACTGTTAGATAACAGAAGCTGTCGACATTGCAACCTATGCTCCTTCGACTCCATTAGCCGGATCAGTACCATGAACATCCAGTACGTAGCAACCGCATTCTTCCTGTCCAAAATCGTACAGATTGTTCCAATGTACTCCTCTTCGCGCTGAACGAGAAAACACGACAACGTAGGAACAATAAGCTGGATATCGCAGTACTATTAGATTAGCCTCCATCAACGCACCTCGGTCAGGATCTTCACAAACTCGTTGATGGCAGAGGGTGCAAGCATCAAACGATAGAGAGATTGGAGGTACGTGATGACGAAGTCGTGGTTCGCACCGTGTCGAGCCACGATGTCACGGAGCTCCCGCGCAAGGACGTACAACGCCTTTTCAAACGACTTACTAGGTTGCGTAATCACACCAGATGTCGGTGTATTGACATTAAACTCCACCGCCAGAGAATGCATCTCTTCGTCAAGGCCTCGAGGAAGCTGTCGTTGCGTGCGTGCTGTCTTCCGACCGCCATGCACCGCTAGCGAGTGCAAGATGTTTGCTTGCGCAGCACGAAGCTCTCGGTCCATCACGTTTACATTCGGTGCAGCACTTGCGACCCTACTTCCTTCTCGTATGAGTTCGCGCGGGATCATGCGCATAAAGTCTGGCATATCGGCCATCTCCACACCCACTTGGAAGTTGCCCAGCGCGTGACAAGATGCTAGCAGTTCGCACACAATTTTCTCACGCTGATATGAATCATACGTGCGACTGACTCCGTCCACGTAGACGACTCGAAACGTTTGCACTGTGTCTTGGTAGATGACAAGACTGTAAATCCGCACTAGAGGGCGGCTGGAAATCACTGTGTGGGCATCTGTGAACTCCGTGATGTGCATTTCCGAGACCGACAGGGTCCGAAGAGCACTGCGACTCGGCTCTTTCGACGTCGTGACCTTCGAGACCTGATACTCGAACAACACTGCGGTCCTCGCCAGCGTCGCTACAAACCCGCCGTCTTTCAGCGCCATGTCCATCGTTTTCTCACGGTACTCATTGATCTGCATCCCATACGCTTTCATCATGCGGTCAATAGCTACTGCCAACTCCTTCCGTCGTGGCGCGAGCAAGAGACTCGAGTTGTCCGCGTGGTTGAGCGCAATCGCTTCGTGGTCGTCACAGATCACGTCCATCGAGACCAAACTCGTATACTGAATGCAGCTCATCACGTCTCCTTCCTTATCTCGCTGGTAAATGCCATCGGGCCGAACCTCCACGACACACGGCGACTCGACGCCGCTCCAGTAGCACTTGCGGCCGTCAAACACGTGCGTCTGGAGCCCCAGCGGCGTCGCGCAGTTGGGCGTCTTGGCGCAGTGGTGACTGCGCAGCCGCAAGAGGCACACGAGCACGTCCATGCGGAACTGACAGCGATACACCGTCTTCTTGACGCGATGGCGCGGCGTGTGGATCACAAAGTCCGTCTCGCCTTCCAGCACGTTCGCACCGTCGACGTCTTCGTACGGCCACGTGTTGGTCATCTGCTGGTTCTCTCGATCCAGCGTCGAGAACGAGTACTCACCAAAGCACAGCACGCGCTCCTTGACGACAAAGCTGCCCACTTTGGACACCATGAACCGCGCGACCGTGCGCTTCGTTTCCATTGCAGCTGCGGCGTTGGTTTCCCCTGTATCTTTCCGCTGCTCTTTCTCACGTTGCCGTTGCGCGTTGCCTTTTGATTGCGCGCGCGCACTCGGGGCAGGTGCGTGCAACGCAAGAGTGATGGTCGCGTGGCTTCACGTTGACAAGGCAGAGAGAGAGAGAGAGCGAGCGAACGAAGCCCCGAGAGGTCGCACCCGCGCGCGACTAGGGGTTTCACTTTCTCGGTAAGTGCGATCCCTCGCGCATTCGTGCAAACCCGCGCGTCTTTTCCGCCAATCGCACGCCGCCGTCCATGTGCGGCTCTCAGCGCCGCCCGCCCCCTCACACCCACACGCGGACGAGAGCTGACGTTCGGCTCTTCCTACGACTCGCGCTCGCTCGCCCGCTCGCTCTGTCTATCGACCGATCGATCACACGCACACACGCACGCACTGCCCGATGCTCGTCTCCGTGTCGTCCTCGAAACTCGCGACCCGCGCGTCGCGCTCGCTGTTCGCCAAGGCCAGCGCCATGCCCAGCGTCGCGCTGACGGAAGAGTTCCCGGCCGTGCCCCCGTCGCAGCCGGCCGCCACCAGCGCGCCCACACTCACGACGTCCACGGCGCTGTCCGGCCTCGCGCTCGGCTCGGACGACTGCGCGGCGTCGGTCGCGACCATTGGCGTGCAGCTGGCGACCGGCACGCGCGACGAGTGCGACGAGACGGCCGGTGTGTCGCAGCTGTTTAGCAAACTGGCGTTCCGCGCGACGCAGACGCGCTCGGACCTGCGGCTGTTCCGCGACATTGAAGCCATTGGGGGCGTGGTGCACGCGCGCGCAGGCCGCGAGTTTGTGCGCTATAGCGTGAGCGTTTTGCCGGACCAGCTACCGGCCGCGGCCGAGATTCTGGCCGAGACGACGCTCGCGCCCAAGTTTGCGCTCTACGACGTGGACGCGCAGAAGCGCCTGGTGCGCGCCGAGCACGACGCGATCCGCGACGACCCGTCGCAGACGCTGCTCGAGGGCGTGCACGCAGCGGCGTTCTACGACGACGTGGCGCTCGGGCGGCCGCTCGCGCCCGTGGCCAACCTCGAGGCGCTGGACCCCGAAGCGCTGTGGAGCTATTACAACCAGCACGTGAACACGGCGAACGCGGCGTTGGTGGGAGCGGGTGTGGCGCACGCTACGCTCACGGACTTGGCGAACCAGTTCTTTGGCTCGCTGGGTCAAGGCAGCAAAGTGGCGCGCGCGAGCGCTGCGTACGTGGGCGGAGAGACCCGGGAGAAGTACGCGTCCAAGTTCACGCGCGTGGCTCTGGCGCTTCCGACTGTGGGCCGCGAGTCGGCTGACTTTGGAGCGTCGCAGGTGCTCCGTGGACTGCTGAGCGTGCGGCTCAAGCACCACAAGAAGGTCGCGGCTGTGCTGTCGAGCTACAGTGACGTTGCTCTGATGAGTCTGTGCAGCTACGCCGCCCCGTGGGAGGCAGGTGCGCTCGTGGATTTGCTTGCGGCCGAGTTTGTGAAAGCTGCGTCGACGCCGGCGAGTAAGGAGGAGCTGGCTGCTGCCAAGACTACGGCGGCGCTCGAGGCGCTGGAGGACTACAGCACGCAGGCGGGCAACTTGGGTCGCATTGGGCTGATGGCCGCCTCGGGGCGTGTGCCCGAGTCGCCGTCGCAGATTGTTGAGAACGTGACGGCTGCAAAGCTGCAGGAACTGGCTCGGAACGCACTGAAGGCCACGCCTTCGGTGGCTGCCTATGGCGTGCTGTCGACTGTGCCTCACGTGGACGCGGTGGCAAGCAAGCTGCAGTAACGAGCCAGGAGGACCGATCACAAGTAAGCTACATACATCAGTTAGCGACATTGGGCGTTGCGTGAGACGCACGTTGGTGTGGGTTCATGGTACGAGTGCTGATGGTTTGTTGGGTGTGTGTGGATGGCACAGGGGGACGCTGTCAGGCCGCCTTAAGACTAGGAAGGGGAAAATACATACAGCATTGGATGACTGTGACTGCAGGCAGACAGACGCACACATTGTATGGAGGTAGTCTTGCGTCAAGTTGATACATTGTACGACCGCAAGCGCTAAAGATGCAGTAGAGTCTCACTTTTGTACGACAATATTGAGCTTATGTCGCGAAATTGCGTTTCGAGTCACGCGTAGCTCGTCAAACTGCGATGATTATGATTGTGGATATGACATTTGAGTCGCAACAAGGCGTAACTCACACACACACACACACACACACTCGATCGAGTCTCATGGCTGGAAACTTCGTGCACCAAGTGGGCGGCCACACGACGGCCAAGACGAGTCTAAAAGCTCAGAATGGCCACATCTTGAAGCCGTATCAGAGTAACCGGCGCGGTGAACGAGAACGCAACTTCTACGAGCGCGTGTTCACATTGGAGACCGAGTCGCCGGAATTTGCAGCTCTCAGGAGGTTCTTGCCAATGTATTACGGCTCAACTGTGATCGCTGAAGCTGGGGACAACAAGGACGAGATGGCGTCTACCAGCGCGCACGATGGCGGTGGGAATTCTGCATCGATCCAGCGCGTTTGTGTGCAGGAGGCCGTTCTAATTGTGTACCATTTGTGCAGAATATCTGGTGCTGGAGGACTTGACGTGGGGCCGGCAGTGGCCCTGTATCATGGACATCAAGATGGGTACGCGGTCGTACGAAGACGGCGCGTCGCTTGAGAAATCCTCGTACGAGAAGTCCAAGTCCTCATTGCAAGAGATCGCTGGATTTCGTATCCAGGGCATCAAACGGCTGGACCCGAAAGAGAAAAGGTATGTTGAGCTCGACAAGTACTTTGGGCGGAGTATCACATCCATGGACGAGCTTCCTCGAGCTCTTGGCCGCTTTTTCCCACTGGAAAACAAGGCGAAAACAGTGAAGCTGCTCGAAGCGGTAAGCTCTGCGTGTGGCTGCTGCGCTTGCTCGGATGACCGTAGAGCTGACGATTTCGCATCCTGTTTTCTTGTTGCTGATGTTTGCAGTTTCTGCAAAGTCTCGACCAGCTAAAGACGTGGTTCGACGAGCAGCAAACGACGATGTTCATCGCCAGCTCCTTCCTCTTCCTGTACGACGGCGAAGAGTCACCACACGAAGGCAAACCCGTCTCCGAAGCGTACGCGGCCGACATCCGCCTCATCGACTTTGCCCACGTATCCCACCCAGCGTCTCCCCAGCTGGACGACGGCTTGCGAACAGGTATCGCCACATTGATCCAGTGCTTCCAGACGCTGCTGCGTGAGTCGCAGGCGTAGAGGTTTGCACGAAAATGAATGCATGGACATCCCCCACTGGTCAAGTCGTGAACGTCACGAACAGCAGCGCTCACATCGTCAGGCGTTTGGAGACTGACACTCTGTCTGCGTCCAGTACACTCTTTCGTACCGCTTATCGTTGGTCGGACAAGCAGCAAAACACTCGTCGGGTATCAGAACTCAATGTCTCCAGCACGCCAAAGCAGTTCTACAAGTACCTACTCGTAAGTGCACAGAAGCACAGAGGTCAACGAATTCGTGCCGCTCGGTACGTTTTTGCGTCTGTGGGATTCCCCTCCTACTACCGGTGCACGCGCTCTCTCAGACGGTAGTGACATAAGGTCTGGTCCAACGGGCTTGTGGGGGGGTATTGGCCCTCTGACTAGCAGCAGAGCATACATGACAACCAAATAGAGGAACCCATGCACAGTAGTGTCCTCCTTGTCTGTGTCACAAGTGCAGGCGGCTGTTCCGTTGAAGCCCTTTGACAGGCGTCAGAGTTGGTACAAACGCAAGAGAAGGGGGCGCGGGGCAGATTTCTGTCCACTGACTGAGACGCGTCAACGGGAGCCGGCGAAATGACGAAAGCGGACAAACAAAAGCACTGGCGCACAAGAGCGTGTTCAACCAAACGGTATTACCTGTTGGTGAAGAGGATAGTGCTCTGGCTCGCGACAATCCGTCCGCGCGCTTGACCAAAACCGGTCGATTCAAGAACGCGGCGGTTCCAATCCGAAGACGGCAGCAGCAGCGTCACCTGCTGCTGCACTGCCGCCTCCCCCGCCCGCAAGCACGAGGAGCCAATACCCAATGCGTTGCAGGTGGTTTCTATCTCTATAACAGCTCAGCGCACGCAGCTCGCTCGGCGACGAGTCCCTTGCGCTTGCACGCCCATCATCACTCTGCATCGTGACGTGCAAGGAGCGTAGCATACCCGTCCAGCGACTGCACGGCGCTTGCACTGCTGGGCTTATAACATCTGCATCTGCTGCTGCGTCTGCATGCTGTGCATCTGGTGCTGCGGGTATCCGTTTGCCGAGTAGTACATCATGTTCTGCGGCGGTGGTGCCGACTGGTCGTTGGGGGCGCCTGCGGACGGCTGCTGCTGGCTGTAGAACGCACGCGACGACTGCTGCTGCTGTCCATACGCTGCGGCGGCAGCGGCCGAGTCGGCGGCACTGAGGTGGTGGTGGTACTGTGATGACTGCGTCGAGTACGGGTGGTGGTGGCCCCCTTGCTGCGGGGGCTGTTGCTGCTGTTGCTCCTTGACATCAAAGTAGTCCACCCGGGCGTCCGGGTGGTGTTGCGGCAGCTCGGGTTTCGTCGCCCAGTGCTGCGAGTACGGGTTCTTCATCTGCTCCTGTGTGCCCCGGGGCGCATACGTCTGCCGGTCCATCACGCTCGAAGGCTTGTACATGCTGCCAGAAGACACGGGAGGCAGCGCGCTGGTGTCGGCCGCCATGTAATGACGCGCCGCGCCGCCTGCCTGGAGACTGATGGGCTCGTACGACCGCTGGTCGGCGTGGATCTGCAGGTACTGACCAGCGTTCGCGCCTTCGTAGCTCTTGTACCGCATGTCCATCTCCAGCCGCTGCTGCTGCACGTACGCCGCGCGCTGGGCGTCCACTTGACTGGCCGTCACGTGCGTGTCGCGCAGGTCCTTGACCCCCATCGCGAACGTCGGCGTCGTGATCTGCCGCATGTCCATCATGTGCTGCGGCAGCGACGCACTGCTGCCGACGCCAGCGGTCGCCAACTGGTCCTTCGACAGCTTCCCCTTGGTCGCGTTCGCATGGTACGAGCACTTGCCCTTCTTGCGCGCCGGCTTGTTGCAGCCCGCGTGGTCGCAGCGCTTGCCGCCCCCGTGTTCGGCGCAAAAGCCGCCGCCGCGGTCGTTCTTGGTGCAGTCCGGGTGCTGGCAGAAGCGGCTGCCGCCGTGGCCGGCGCAAAAGCCGCCGCGCTGCGCGCCCTTGTTGCAGCCTTCTTTCTCGCAGCGCTGGCCGCCGCCGTGGGCGCGACAAAAGCCGCCGCCCTGGCTGCTCTTGGTACAGCCGGCGCTTTGGCACCGCAGGCCGCCGCCGTGCGCTTTGCAGAGGCCGTTCGACTGCGACGCTTTCGTGCAGCCCGACTGCGTGCAGCGCTTACCGCCGCCGTGGCGGATGCAGAGCCCCTGGCCCTGGCTGCTGCGCTCGCAGCCGTCCACCATACAGCGCCGGCCGCCGCCGTGCGCTTTGCAGAGGCCTTTGGACCGGACGCGCTTCGTGCAGCCCGGCATGGTGCAGAGCCGGTTCGACTTGAGCGCCTCGTTGCGGACAGCAGAGGCAGCAGACAGCGCGCGCGAAGCCGCCGCCGCCGACGAGAGAGAGCTCTGGACTTTGGCGACGCTCGTGGGCGACGCGGACGTCGTGGCTTCGAGCTTGGGCCGCAGCTTGTGGGGCTCGGACCGCTCGTTCGGGGCCGCTGAACTCGTGGCGGCTTTCGAGGCCGACGCGGCGGCCGACGCGCCGTGGCCGCTCATGGCCTTGTGGCCGCTCGGGTCGTGCAGCGCGCGCTCGGGGGCGTACTGGTGGTACGTCGCGGGGTCGTAGTTGTAGCCGTGCGACGACGCGGCCGACGACGACGACGCCGCGTCGAGCGCTGCGCCCGTGTCGTGCAGGTGCATGGCGGCTGCGTGGGCCGTAGTGATGTGGGACGTGGCGGCGGACGTGGACGACGCAAAGGTCATCAAAGTCGGCCAACTGGTGGCGCGTGGGGGGGCAGCACGGGACGAGAGAGAGAGAGAGCAAAAGAGACTTGAAGCGGGTGGGTGGGTGCGTGGGCGTGAGACCGAACAGGTGGGTGTGTGTGCGTGTGTGTGTGTGTGTGTGTGTGTGTGTGTGTGTATGGAGCGACCGGTCGATGGAGCGAGTCGGGCGGGAGGAGGAGACAGAGCCGATTGACGAAGACGGAGCAGTAGGCGGTGACGAGTACCAACGGCCCGGTAAGAAACACAATGATGGTAAGCGCAGGGCGACCACTCGCTCACTGGGCAAGCGCGGCCTCCCCCTCGCTCCTGCGGACAAGACGCAGCAGCTATGTACGAATCGACCAAAAAAAGAGCAGCCGCGAGCAAGGGCTAGGGAACAGCAACCACACCCTGCTTTCGAGCGCTGGCTGTTCTCTTGAGACGCGTGTCAATTGAGATGGCAGTTGCGGTCGGTCGCTTCTTTGCCACCGCCGCGACGACGCGCGGCCGCAAGCGATGGTGTGGCACAGCTTATACGTGCGCATCGATGCGTGGGGTGTCGATGCAATGCGCTGCTTCCCGAGCACGCTCCTAGTCGACAAGCTATGCCGACATTCGGTCATGTTGGTCACGGCTGGCTGTATCCACGCGGGCAGCAACCAGCGCACTGTCTATGTGGTGGCAGAAGGGGCAGACAGCCCCCTTTGCGTGTCGCGTGCCCATCCACTGAGCGTTCTCTGGTCTGGTGATGCGTGACAAGAGAGTAGGCGCAAGATGAACCAATCGCGCGTTCTCACGCGCATAGGGCACATAGGGGCGGGCAGCCTCTCAACGGAGCTCGCGCGATCGATTCTCGCGAGTTCATGGGCCAACACAACCAGGCGACGCGTTCGTGAGACACTGGCCGCATTCAGGATAACAGGTTATGATGTATCGCTGTCGCCCTCTTGAACCGGTGCGACCAAACCGGATCTGCTCCTCGCCGATGGGCACAGCTTGTGGCATCGCAACCGCATTGCTGCGGCACGCTCGGGCTCTCGCGGTCGTGTATGGCTCGAAATTTGTCACGGAGCTTCAAGCCGGCGGCGGATAGCCCGTTTCGTCCGGCGCGCCACGATGCAAATCAAACACCTGGTGGGACTGCATCTTCTGTCGTCGCCCGTGGCCACTTGGACGCGGCTGCGACCAGCGCGTGGCCCTACACTTCAGGGAGTGCACGCGCTGATCCCGTCGCGACATACGTGGCGAATAGAAGGGCGAAACCCGCCAGCACGGCGGTGGGGCATCAACCGAGTGGACAGCTACAGAAGCCACTCGGTGGTGCTGCTGACTGCGCTGTGACTGCAGGATGCGTGCTGTGTGTACCGACGTGGGCGTGCAACGACAGCCGACCTGCAGCGAGCCAAGGTGACCAGCTTGGCTTGACACTGGTCGGCGTGTCGTTGAGCTTCGTGCCATCTGAGGGTGGCGCAGCCTCAGTGTCGCTGGCTCGGCGAGCAGAGACACTTTGAAGTTACGCACGACAAGTGCACAAGGTCGCTCGCCGGCTTGATCGGGCGGCTACGTACGACGAGATGACTGCAGAATCCCGGCGCCAGGCGTATCGCACGATCGCGTCGGGTCTCTGCGCGGCAGGTGGTTTCCGGGATCCGCAAGCGCGACGTTGTGCTCGAGGAAGCGCGCGAGCTCGTGGCGGATCAGCGGAGAAGATCCGCTGGTCCGAGTTGCTGGTACACCGGGCGCATCGTCGGGCGTGGCCACGATGCGAGCTATGGACGACGGCGGCGGCGGGTGCGGCAACGTCTGCTGCGAAACCATGGAACGTGGCACGAGTGTCGGCCATGTCAAGTGAGACTGTCTTCATGACGCAAGAGACGGGCTTTGGGTGCGTAGAAAGCGTTACGGGGCGGACCTCTTTGTTGTACAGTACGTGCCCGGCTGCCCTGCTGCTACCGGTGGTGCCGTGCACAAGCACATGTCGTATGTCGCCCCGAGTGGCCGCGCTCTTGTCTGGCACAAGGATCGATGACGGACGGCAACGTGTCGTTGCCCACCGCGAAAGTATTGCGAGTCTCCATGGTCCGTCGTCCCACGAGGCCGTCCTGGGCCACCGTTTGTCACGCTGCGCGTGGCCGCCTCATTTCTGAGCGCGCGATGGCTCGGCCTGGACGGGTGCAAGCGATGCGACGCCGAGTGTGTTGCTGGGAGAGACGCTCCTGCACCGATCTACGCTGGCGATCTGCCAGGACGGGAGTGTCGGCACTAGACGGTACACGCAGATAGCGAGGGAAGCCCTGTCGGCTGCACACCGACCGATGGACTCGGCGTATCTTTCGATCGTTTGGGCGAGTCATTACGGTCGTCCGAGCTGTACTGACTGAAGCGAATCGTTGACGCAGGCAATCAACCGAATCGAACATAGCATAGCCGTATCTGATCTTTGTTTCAATCGATTGAAGTGAGTGGGCGACAGCGCTTTTCGGTTGGAGCGCCCGACGTTTGATTGTTTGATTGATTGATTCGTCGCGGAAAGAAACACTGAAAACAACAAGCGCACACCTACACACCTTCTGTCGCTGAAACCTATCGGGAGGTACCCTAGCGCAGCAAGTTGAAGTCGTAAGATACTCGAGACGTAAACTACGCCTAATGTTCGGAGTCGGGACGACGAGTCCATTCAATAACTTGCTCAGTTCTTCGGGCTGCGGGTCGCACGACATGAGCGCTACACTTCGATCGATCGCGGGAACGCAGTGGCGCGTTCAGTCCCCACCGACTCTGACGGGACTCGCCACGAGCGGTCTGCATAGTGGACGCAAGTGGTCTTATCTACGAGCAGCCAACGTGCACCGGTTGGCGGTAGATGGGGTCCCGTAGCTCTACTGCAGTATCACGCGCCAAAGCAAAGTGCACTGCTGACCAGAGGTCCGTTCCAGGAGGTCAAGACGCCGGCCACGTTGTCGTCTCGACGTGGCGCGCACGTGCGTAGCTATCGGTCTGTCTGTGTGTCTGTAGGTGTATCTGCTGCGCGCGGCGGCGGCGGCTGACTTTCTGCGGCAGTCGGCAGTCGAGACGACCGATTGTGCGGCCTCGCGCGGAAGATTGTGAGGCTCCGCCAACACGTTCGTGCTGCAACACGGCACGTTCAACGATCTCTCTCTCTTCCTCGCGTCTCCCTCGACGCGGGGAAGACCCGTTGTCGTGATCAGCTCAGCGGCGCATCTGGTTCCGTTGCGTAGCTGTTCAGACCAGCTCGTCTCGCTCGCTCGCCCAGTGCACGCGGGCGGGAAAGGCGGGAGAACAGGCTGCCACGACATGTCAGGATGCAGTGTGGTGCCCGAGTGCGTGCGACACTGTACTGTGGGCAGGACGTCAACAAAATCTGACGAGGGTTTGCTGCTGGTGGATTGTTGACATGCGGCTGCGTGGATGCGTCATGGACGTTGCACTCCATTTGTCGATGCTGTCTCAGTGTACGTCTGTAACCTTACATGAGTGTCCCACACGTGCGCATTGCACCCGTCGGCACGTGATCATTGATCGCGTTTGCCTATGGAACTCACTGAGCAGGACCTACCAGCAAGTGGGAACTGTCGTGACCAAGCAATGCTCCCTGTTGCCTTCAGTGTGAAGCTTCGAGACGCTCGTACGACGATCTCCGCGTGCTGTTCCACTGCTGAAACGGGCCAGGCACGTCGTTGGTCCCTCACCGCCAAGTTGCTGCCATCAAAGACGGAATACCTCGTTCTCGTCTCGCTGTCTTTCTGCTGGTTGTCGACGACCCGATTGCCCAAACTAGAGCAAGCCAACAGCTCCATATGCTGATCGGAGAGCTCTGCTGCACTGGTTCGGAACCAGAACACTTTGCACTGTGCCAGATGTGGTCGCACGAGATCGAAAGCTAATGCCTGGAGCACCTTTCGGCACGAGATCCTCTTCACGTCATGAAGTGTCTGGCGATACCATTCACTTTTACAAACTCGTGTAACCTCTGGATCTATCATGTTGCCTCCTCGCCAGTTTGTCAGCCGCAACCAGTTACTTGTCCTTCAGGTAACTGGTCTTGTCGGCTGGCCACACCGCTCCCCAGTGCGCCTTCCGCGATGCACGATACACCTCGCGAATGGCTTTGCCTTTGGTGACACTGCGACGCTCGAGTTTTCCCTTCACACGTGCACAAACAAGCGAGTCAGTCGGAAGCGCATTGCAAAGCGTACGCAATGGACCATTTACTTTACCTCTGGCGTGCACAAGTCGAGATGCACGTGACGGGTGGCGAGCAGAGGACTTCGGAGCATGCGCGCAATCGGCATCCGTTCAGCCGCTGCAGCTTCCATGCCACTTCCACTGGTCTTTTGCATGATCACATACGAGAACTTGGAGCCCTTCTGACCATGCCACCGCTTGGTAGTGGCCTCTCGAGGCCGACTTACCACAGGAGAGCGCTGGACAAAGTGACACCACGTACTTCCTGCCGCTGGACACTGTCGCCATCGCACAAAACATGGCACATGTCAATCTCGCGAATCAGACACCAACTACGCGAGCACATTACCTCGAAATGGTGCGGACACGGTGCAACAATGCACACGCCTTCGTCCCCGTGCTTCTCTTCGTTGGCCACAAAGTCAAGCACGAACTGACGGGCCGATCGCACGTGGTGTGACCCCCACGGACTGCCACGGTCCACGACCACAAGACATCCATTGTCGCCGAGCAGTTCCCACAGCGCCGACATTATCGCCACCCGCTCGTGGTCATTGGTAATGTCAGAGAAGACGTGACTCACGACCACGAGGTCGTACTTGGTCCCTGCATTGATCTCGCGCGACAAGTCGGCAATGCTGCGACGGACACTGAGACCCGCAAAGTCTTCCAGCAGGACCTCGGCCGCATCCACCATGGACTGACTGGGCTCCACGACGCAATACTTGTCCAGGGACCGGTCATAGAAGCTCTTGGCCACCCACGAGGCCGTGCCCGGGCCCGCACCAAAGTCCAGCACGGACGTTGGGGCAAACGCTGGCCGTCGCTTCTGCAGCTCTGTGAACACCGCGTGGGCACACGCGTAGGCGGCTTCGATCTCGAACGACAGGTACGCCAACGTCTCGCTCGGTCCATAGGCGAACGGCGGGCGCTGCGCACTCGCGTCCATCGTCCAGCCCAGCGGCGTGTGGCTCATGTTCCGCGGCACTTGGCGCGTGTTCTGGCGGTCGCCCACGTGTTTCGGCCGCAGCGTCTCGAGCTGCGAGTGCGTGCGGCTCCGCACGGTTTGTGCCACGCGGCGCAGCATCTCCAGCGGCATCTCCACGCGCTGCGCTAAGCCGTTCCGCGAGATTTGGTCAATGTCGGCGACGAGGTGGGGCGTCCGAGGGTCTGTTGCAGCGACGGGTTCGGCCGTGGCCGCGAGTCGGCGGGCGCGGCGAGCGCGACGGCTGGCAGCAGGCGAAGACGAAGAGGCGAAGAGCACTTGGGCGGCCGTGGCGGGCGCTGGACGAGCGCCTGACGCGGCTGCGCGTAAGGTGCGCAGCATGGAGCGCTGCCTGGTCAGGAGTGGTGTGCGTGCGATGCGAGGGGTGATGAAAATTGAGAGGCTTATCGAGACTTGCAGGTGGGCTGCTCGCGGGGTTCTTTGTTTTGATCGGGAGGTGTATTTAAACGAGAGAGCGAGTGAAGTGGGTGGGTGCAGCGTAAAGTAACGGTTTGGGGGGCGTGTAGCCATGGAGCAAAAGAGGTGCGTTGGTACAGGTGGAAGTAGTTTGAGTACCGGTTGGTAGTCGGCTCGATCTGGTTTCGCGTCTTTTGCGCTTCGTTTCTACTTGCGTCGGTCGTTTCTAAGCGATGCCTCTCGTTTCCTGGCAGCTGCTGATGCGCCCGCCACTTCCAAATGCCACAAGAAATTACATCGTCCGCTTTGGTACAATGGTGCTGATCCTTGTGTCGAAGCCGTATCTGCCTATAGTATAACATGCTGCAAGATCGAGAGCAAAACACGAATACGTTCGGACGAAACTGTGCGTCTCCGTCGTGTACGTGTATTAGCACAACGTTCGGCCCCGTCGTGTATGGCGGCGAATGTACACTGTATGAGATTCAGAGTTGGCACGTCAAGCTTTAGACATCCACGCTCGTCCTCACGGGCACGCCACATCAGCAATGTCGACTGTGGAAATGCCCGGCGTACTGCAGCTTTTGACAGCACAATCGACACGTAGTGTTCTGTGTTGATACGTCATAGTGCATTCTGATGAGATCGAGCGATCGATCATATGCCATTTCATGTGCAGATAGTTGTGCGCAAGTTGTCTGGAGACTTCTGAGCAGGTAAGAAACGCCGGATCGAGAAACGACTTGCGCCGGTCTCTACAAGGGGTGAGGAGAGATGTCTAGGGTAGAACTCAGCATCCCACTCGAATTGCCGAATAGCCGCAGTGACGAGCAGCATGCAGGGAATGCACGTAGTGGACGTATACTCGTGCGAGCATACGATGTCCCGAAGCTCTGGACTTTTGCGTCGGGTTGGCAGGTGAAGTTTGAGCCCAAGCAGCTTAGTTAGACTGCTTGGGTCAAACGGGCACAAAAGCACACGGATCGCGCGGAGGAACGTCGACCTCCGACTTGAGGCGGTGTGATGCAGCGTCATAAAACATGTACTGCTTGTTGCATCGGTTCGCTTTGCGTGCAGATAGAGTGTCTGTCAGCCACGGGTCCAAAAGTGTGCTACGGAGTCTCAGGAGGGAGACAGCAACGACTCCGACTCCGGGCGTTGCTGTTACTACACGCGTGTGCAGTGCTCGTGAGCTGCGCTTTGGCCGGTAGGTGCTAACACACGACGTGGCCGTTCTCCGCATTGCTTTCGCTTTGTTTGCAGACAGCAGCGCTCCAAATGCGATGTCAACGCCCATCGCTGATCACTCGGCACTGCCGGTACGATGCCATGCCACAGCTGATGTGTTTACTCGTGACAGAACACGGTCACCGTCGTGTCCAACGACCGGCGGTCAACGCCGAAATCGGAGCCATCGCCACAGCGGCACTTGAATGTGGCCGTTTGTTTTGCACTTGTGCCCAAATGTCTGGATAAGATGCGGTGGACGCGGTGGGGCGTGAGACTTACGCGATACATGTGCGCTGCATTTGCTACCGACGCTCAACCACGAGTTGACATGAGGAGGGGCAGCACCTTGCGGGCGACCAGGGTCTGCAAGCTTTTTCCACCGTAGCGAACAGAGTGGAGCAATTTACGGACGTGCTGTCAAGTGAATACCTCGTCTCAAATGTACGTGTATTCAAGCCATGTCAAGATCATTCACTCGTGTTGTGCCACGCCAGGGCAGAGACACTAATCAGCCGACATCTCACAAGCCGCACTCGTGCCGAAAGCCGGTTACTCGATCTCCATCACGTTGCCCACGCTCCGTCGCGCTTCCTCAAAAGATTGCACGATCAGGTCTTTGCCGCTGTCCGACGCGGGCGAAAAGACGAACTCGGCGTCGCACAGGGCAGCCGCGTGGCACGCTTCACTCGGGCTCTTGCCCTCGCGCATGAGCGACAATAGCTGATCGAATTTCGAAGAAAGAACGTCGCAACGCGCTTGCGGCGGTAATATGGTGCATATCGTTTCGAGCGTCGCCTTCGCCTCGCTCAGGGCTCTGTCGCTGTCTTTGGCGTGTTCCAAGAGGTCAGCAATGAACTCGCAGAACAAGCAGCTGACAGGCATCGACTTCTCTTGCTCCACAGCGACGGCTGCACACTGGCCAATTCGCGTGCAAATGGTGTTCACGTCTTCATTCTTCTTCAGCGAGTCAATGATCGCACCTTGATGCTTCATCAAGAGGTCACACTAGTCACATCGACACGTCAAAAACACAGTTAGTTTAGGCACGACACAGCTAGACTTCAACGGTCTCCGACCGATCGTTACCTCTGCGGATTCTGGGATCAAACGGCACACAGAGCTGACCTCGCGCTCAAAAGCGGCCAAGCTGTCCGGGTCATCAATCAACGATGCAAACATCAACGTGTTTTTTTGACATGTCGCGCATTTTGCGGGCAGGAAGTCGCCGCCAGTGAAGTCAAGCAAACCGGACACCTCGTCGCGGTCTTCAACGGGCGTACACATCTCGAGCATCTGACAAACCTCTTGAGGTTCCTTTCCGGATTGCAAACTAGCCACTGCTTTGGCAAACATGTCCGGATCCTTGTGGCACTACAATATACCATACCACAGCCGCAGCAATGTCGCAATTAGTTATGCCCTCCTTTTCGCAAAGCAATGGCAAAACAGATCTCGTACCATGTCGTTCGCAGGAAGCAACTGACAAATGTAGCCAGCAACCTCGTGCAGTCCTTCCACATGCTCAGGCGTCTGGTCCAGTGCATTTTTCAGCACACTGACGACGCCATTGCAGTAGGCACACGTGCTGCTGTCCATGTCACGTTTCTGGACAGCCATCATTTCAGGCACGGCAATGTCCGTCACGCCAGAACGGGAGTCCGCCAAACAGAGCTGCAACTCGTGGCAAACTGACGTTGGCTGCACTCCATTCCGTAGGGAATCAACCACAGCATCGAACTTCGATACGAAAGAGTGACACTAAAACAACAAGCACACGAAGCCATAATTAGCACAACCGTAGCGTCACACGCGCCGCATCAGCAAACTGCCGTACCTGGTTATCGCCCGGAAGCATTCCGCACAAAACCTCGACGATCTGTCGGGTCTGTTCAATCTGGCTGGGGTCTTGCGCGACAGCTACTTGAAGTGCAGGTGCCACTTGCATGCAAAAGAAACACCCGTCACCCAGACCTTCCATCGAGTCCTTCGGCAATTTTACATCCAATACACTAAGCGTTGACAAGAGGTCAATCGGTGTTGAGCGCGGTGAGAGCTCTTCTAACATCAACGCCAACGCGTTTCCTTCACCGTTAGCGACCGTTGCAGGACAAAATTCCAAGCCCACACAGATCGCCTTGGAGCTCATGCCTTTTGCAATGGAGTCAATCACAAAATCCATTTGCTTCACGTACACGTGGCACGGATTGTCCTCGCCTAGCATGTCGCAGATCATGTCAGCATACGCGCGGACTTGGCGGATGTCAGCGCCATACTGCTCGACTGCAATTTTTGCCACGGTGGTAGCGAATTGGCAATACGCGCACTCAGACTCATCTCCAGGAGGCCACTGCGACGCCACAACCACGGCTTTCAACTCGTCGGCGATAGCAGGTACGTCTTCTTCCTCGTCCTGTGTCTTGTCACACGTCCCAATCAGCTTGCAGATAGCGTGGGGGCGCTTGCCTTCCTTGTCCCATTTTACGATCTCCTCGAACTTCTCGTCCACAACATCGCATTTACATTTTGAGGGCACCAACTTGCACACATTCGACAGAATCGTCTTCACAATCGGCAGCTTTTCCGGAGATGTGCCCTGCACGTAGTGCACCACACCCGCTACGTGTGAACAGAAAAAGCAGCTGTTATAGTCAATAGAAGGTTGGCGCGGTAGGTCGTCATTCTCTTGCCCCAGAAGCGTCCTGCTAAGCTGGTCAACAATATCGACCAGCTCTCCAAGCTCTTTCGTGCTCGCACGGATATCGTCTCCAAAACGATCGCTCTGTGCCCTACCAATGAAAGACTTTTCGCCTAACTCAGACGGGCCGATCATGTCGTTCCCAGGACAGTAGCCGAGCGCCTTACAAATGTCGCGAGGGTGATCTCCTTTGTTTAACGAATCAATCACCGTGTCAAGCTTAGCGACATACCGGTGGCATGGACTGTCGTCTCCCAGCATATCGCATATCATGTCGGCGTAGTTACGAATCTCGTTGATCTGCTCGGGAGCTTCTTGCAAAATGACCTCGATCAGAGTTGTCGCTGCATCACAGTACGCGCACGTCTTGTCATTCGTCGTCTTCACGCCAAGTGCGGCTTGTTGGGTGCATACGCTGATCACCCCACAAATTTCACGCGGGTACTGGCCCTGGTGCACCAGCTCCACAACGGTGTCAAAGTTGACCTCCACTGACTGGCACTTTGCTACTGGCGAAGCCATCTGGCACACACTTTTCAACAGATCTTTCGCCATCCATAGCTGGTCGGGAAATCGAGTGCTCACTTGAGCAATCACCCCGATCATACTCGTGCAAAACGAGCACGACTGCTCCGGCTCTTGAACATTTGATGTAGCTACAACTCCGTCTGCAATCGTTCGAAGCTTATCACCAAAGATGGCGTCCCAATCTGAGGTCATACTGTCGCTAACGCTGTCCCGCACGGGAGTGTCACGTGCAGACACAGCTCCATCTGCATTTTCACGTACTTCATTACCAAAAATCCAACCCAAATCCATTATTTCGCGTTCGCTCTTGCTGCTCTGCTCTTGGGTTTCAGGTGTAGCCACAGTGTCAGCTGCAATCATTCGTCCTACACCACCAAACATCCAATCCAAATCCGAGATCCCATCACCGCCAGTAGCGCTGTCCCGCGTTGGAGTGTCGAGTACAGCCACAGCCTCATCCAAACGTTCGCTAACCTCCTTGTCAAGAATCGAGTCCAAGCTCAAGGTCTCACGGCTGCTAGCGGTTTCCACCGGGCACATGGTGAGCCGCAAGCAGACCACGGCCGGGTCGGTGTCGTGCCTCAGCCACTCGACGATATCGTCGTAGTTCGTGAGGAACTTGTGGCACATGGAGTCGGCCGCTGTCACGTCACACAAATCTCCAATAATCTCTCGCACTTTCTGGACCTGCTGCACTTCTTGCGTGAGCGCCTGCATCACCATCTGCACCAACCGGTGGCACAACTTGCACGACAGGTCGTTGGTCGCCACCAGGTCCGTGACAACGGACATCACGTCGCACACTTGATCGTCCGTCCTGCCTTTATGCAACAGCAAGCGCACCTCATCTTGGGCATCCACCACAACCTTGCACTGTACACAGACGTCAACCATCCAATCAGTCACAACTCAATAGCCTCCACATAGCACGCGCCACTTGGCTTACCTGCTCCACCAGCTCTGCACGGCCGAGATCCTCACACGACGCTGGGCGCTGAGCCTCCGGCGACTCCAAGCCAAACGCCGACTCAAAGTACCGCAAGATGGAATCCGCCTGCTCGTGCAGCTGCTTCGGCTCGGGGAGCGTCGCCAGCGCCTTCAAACACGCCGTCTTGCGCGCCGCGGCTGGATCTTCTTCCTCCTCTGCGTTAATCACGACAATGCGGACGACATCGACGGCATCGGTGGCCTCTCCCATGCGCAGAAAGCTCTGCAGCATCGCAGTAGAGCGCGCAACCTGCTCGCTCAGCGCCGCGCCAAAGCCCGCAGTCGGTTCGCTCTCGTCCACGACAGGCAGCGGCTGCTCGGCGTCCGTGCGGTCGGGGGCCGTGTACAAGTCATCGTCCGCGCTCACAAGAGCCAGAGCAGCCGCCTGGCCGAGCAGCAGTAGCAGCGCATTTCGGGGCCGCATGGCGCGTTCGGGTGTTTCCTTTTCGCTTGTTCGGGTGTTTCCTTTCCGCTCGTTCGTTCGTTGTTCCTTTTCGCTTGTTCGTTGTCGACTCGAAATGCGGAATGACGCGGAGCAGGGGCTCGCGAAAGGCGAGGACGGGTGGCACGGACCCGACGACCTTTGGATGCGATGGTCAGGATCTCATACTGAACTGAAGTGAGCGATTGCGGAGGGTAGGGGTGCGTCGATCGCCGTGCTACGAACTAGCCGACGGGAGGAGAAAGAGAGAGGGCGTCATCACTCGAGGGGTGTTTGAAGCACGCGCGTCGTAGAAAGGGAGACCCGTCAGCCAATCAGCGGCTTTAATGAGTGCTCAATGTGGATTGACCACAGTCCCGGTCGTCGTGTTGCGTACCAAACCCTTTCTTTTTTCTCAGCGAGAAAGGCCGTCAAACGGTCGGTCGATTGCGCACTGGTGTGACTTCAATATGAGCGTATCTGTATGGACCGTTTGCCCGGGCTTCTGCGCGATTGCGCCGTTCGGCGACTCGCTGTTGCATTCTGCCGGCTCGAGACGTCAAACTCCACGGGAAGCACTGCGCGAACGGCAGGTGTGGCCGGTATCCCCATCCCTGAGTGCATGTACGATGCACAAGAGGTCTGGAAGAGGCGCAAGTCACCACATCGGACAAGTCGAACGGGCCGTCTTGACTCGTCGTTGGCAGGTAGGTACCTTTGTCGTCACTGAGCCGACCGGACGTCATCACGTTCCAGGCGAGTTACTTATGGGATCGGGATTCGCGCTTGGCGAACGGGTGGCCGATTCAAAGGCGGAGGTAGCAGAGCTGTTGGAACTTGGCGGTTCCTGTCGCAGAGTGTTCAAGCGCAACAACGCACATAGAGTGAACATCCGTGACATGTCAAGAGCGAGTAATTGTCGGCTATCGTTGGAAAGCACGTGAATGTCCGTCCACCCGCCTGAACAAACTACAGAGGCAGAGCACAACAACACTGTTTGGCATGTGATCATCGCTGGGGACGAGCAAGTCTGCCTATCCTCGCGCAAACTTGAGCTGTATCGCCATCGTGGCAGCAACGGTTCCTACCAAAATCCGATTGGACGGACACACAGCGGCTTTGTGCATCTTAGAGCATCACCACCTAATGTTTCTCACTGCTGACAAAGCACATGCATAGCATTGACGCCTTGCAGCTCGCACACCATCAAATCGTAGATTTCGTGACGACAGCACGAGCGCCAGCCCATAGGCCTCGATGGTGCAACCGCTGCAACGTCTGCTTGGATGCTGTCTCATTTTAGAAAACTAGAACACGATCGATGTTCTCGCTATTTTCTGTGACCGAATGTATGATGCAAGCAATCCGTAGTTTGCCGAGTGGTCGATAAGAAGATAGCTCCACAAGTGAGAGATAACACAACCGTGTGGAAGTCGTGCTGTCCTCCACAAGTGAGAGATAACACAACCGTGTGGAAGTCGTGCTGTCTAATACGATTTCCAGCTTTTCTCGGCCCATTGCAACAACTCGGCCCATTGCAACAACTCGGCCACAGTCGTCTATCTACTAACTCATCACCTGACGTCCCATGCGTGTCTCGAACACATTTGAACGCGTGAGCCAAGAAAATCGACAGCTGATAGAACAGCTCTTATCAGTTCGAAGTGAGTCGCAACAGTGCAACATGATTTAAATCAGACAGGCAACAGGCAGCCGCAAGTCCGAAGCGTGACGAAGGAGGAGGAGTTTCATGATCATCTATTGACATATTTAATGTGGACAAGAGGTCTGAAAAATCCTGAGCCAGGATATGAGCGCCGGTCGCGGCAGCGGATCGTGGCTGACACCCGCGTAGGGCGGGTGTCCACGGGGCTCTTGAATCAGAAGTTCAAGACAGGCATGAAGTCGGGCCCCTCGTACGGCCGTAGCCGCGGCTCGATGCTCGCGTATTGCAATTGCCCGTAGCTGGCGAACACCGCGTGTCCAGTACATTTGGACACTTGCGGATGGAGTAGTCACGGCTCCTCTAAAGACCGCCGAGTTCCGCTCGGTCCACAAATGTTCTTGGCAGATGGAGCTTAATATGAACCAGATCCGTTCGAATTCTGTTGCTGCGGCGTCAGAGTCATCTTGAAAACGGCTTTGCAACCGCAAACTCAGCTGACGTGGAATGGGCGGGGCTTTGCGATTGGCGCAGTGCTGAAAGAAGGTGGAAAGAACTGCGTTCGTCGCACCCCCACCGGTCCAGTGTCCTATCAAGTGACACCAACACGCTTGCGCGATTGGGCACTCCCAGAAAATGTGCGCCGCTGTCTCTTTGCGTCCCCGGCAGTGCAGCACCGTACGACAACTGTTGTCCAGCGTGCGACCGGCATGGTATAGATTTAGCTGCTTTGTCGCGATACGATAGCATGTCCAGACTTGATACTCCGTTAGCCCGTTTGCGTGTTTCCAAACTTGGGAAGGCGTTTGATTTGATGCAGCTGACTGCCAACTATTCGATACCGCCTGCGCGTCATAGGCCTTCAACCAGGACTGGAGGCCAGGGTGCAGAAGGCGTTTATGAACGTGAAACGCTTGCTTCATAAGCGTTGTCCACACATCTACATTGGCCACCGTCTCTGGCACACTCCAAGGGAAACGGTGAAGCTCCGGGTGGGCATGAAACACCAAGGTACGATGGTACGAATGCTCCCAGTAGTTAGACACTTGCTGAGGCGACCCCCGTAATTCTGGTAAATTCCCGTCAATCGACCAATGGATTCCATTGACATCTTGGCGGAGGCGAATCGCCGAGTTCGCGGACTCGACAGGGTCCCGACAGGACCCGACAATTAAATCAGCTCGCACCCGGGACCATTTATAAGCGCGCCGAAACGGCGGTGGATGACGTAAGACGAGCCCGGGCTCTACCGGTCCCGCACCGACAGCAAGGTGGGGTGACGAGAGCAGGATCGAAGTCGCCCAACGTTGTAATTTACAATGCATATGCCGAGACGAAGTACCGCCGAGAGACGGGAACGTAAATTGAAATTCATGTGACCCCAGTCGCCGAATGCACAGACTGCGCAGTGAACATGGAGGTATCCGGGCATATTTGGCCCGCTCTAGGGGATCCGAAGCGTGACGAAGGCTGCTGGGCTCCGCCGCGTCCGAACTTCGACCGATTTGCTGGTCACTGTATCCTTCAACGAACTTTCTGTCGCGCTGACCACGACAGCAAGATACTAGGAGCATCAGACTGTCTATTGGGTCGTTATGACTGCGCTAAGATGTCTGTATGGATCTCTCCCTAATCTTCGACCATACTCTGTCGTTCTTCTCCTCGCTTTCTCCTTCTGCTTGCTCGAGACGTCGGGCTTCACGGGGGGAGGGCGCTCTGCAAAGGCCACGTGGAAACGGGTATCCAGTCCTCGGGGCAGACAGGGCGCGAAAATCGCAGAAAACGCCGACGTCAAACCGATCACCCCCGATAGGCCGCTGGTGCACCTGGACGGGTCTGATCAAAACACGTTCTAGACGAGTTCTCTTCGTGGGACCGGGATCCGCGCTAGGCGAACGGGTCGGCGACTGAAGAAGGCGGACGGAGTATAGCAGGAACTCGCTTGCGCCTTAAGTGCAGAGGTTCGACACTCCGTCGATATGCCCCACACCGCGGGATACCGGGGGATTGCTTCCCTCTCGGGTAGCGCGCGCAGCGGAGAAAAGGCCTCCCCCCTTTTAAGCTTGGCCCCACCTACTAAGGAGGACTTCCCGTCCAAGGTAAGGGGGCAGATGGCTGGCTCTTAGGAGGTCTTCGTCTCGGTCCGTTGTTGCTCGAAGAGCCCAAATTTGAGAAGTGCGACAGCAAGATATTGAAAACGTAACCAAAGATTTGGGGTGCGCAAGGTTTTCATCACCCGACAAAGACATCGACCGTCGACCAAAGGACGAGAAGAACGTAAGTTGCGACAGTCATTAGGCGGCCTCTCGACTTGGATAGCAGACAGTCTCTTGCGCGAGTCCACGAGCCATCTCGGCGCGCTAGCGATCCGTCTTTGCTGTCTTTGTGGGCATCAGTAAAGACGGATGGACGCTCGGTGCAAGTGCGTGCAGCGAGCCCCAGATGGAGAAGAAGCGAGATCGTGCGGTATCGACCACGTGCAGTGGCCTTAGGTGCAGTAGAAGCTCGGACATGTGGGACGATCCGTGACCACGAAGACATGGAGCACGGACTGAACTGTCGATTTAGTTCGTGAGCGAGGAGGTTCAGGTACTTGCCCACTAACGTAGAGACACAAGATCCACAGCCTCCACATCGAGACGCATGAGCCCATTGGCGGCTTCGTCCATTGGCCAGAACGATCACGCAGCATGCAGCACTAGACACCCCCGAACACTGGGAGTGGTACAACTCAACTCGGATGACGCACGCCACAACAGGTGGTACCGGAAGCTCAAAGAATGCTCGACAAGTTCAAAGTATCCATACGAGGAGCGAGAACCTGTGGCCGACCACCCACCCACCTCACCGGCCTGGTAAATCCAGTGGGTCCACTGGATTTAGAGGGTGACAGACACGCCAATGATGGAATGTTTAGGAGATGCGTTTGATGTTCTTCGAGATGAGCTCTTTTGCATGGATAGTTTTGTCTCGAACTCGAGTTTGCAGAGTCAAGAAAAGACACGTCTGCGGAGTTGACGCTGTCCCGCCATGAACGAGCACGGAGTAGGGAGTCTGAGACAGTGTGCCTATGCTCATTGAACAGGTGCGGGCACAAGATCACACGTGTGTTTGCTTCTTCCGCCACAATACGAGACCAGCGAGCGCTTTTGCGTCTTCCCTCCCCTTGCGCCCATGTCCGGGTTAATCGAACATGAGGGGGACTTGCGTGTGCGACCGAAGCGCGTTCTAGTAGTTAGTGTCCTCGTGGACATTTGCAAAGCAATATGTGGAGAACGTTTCAGGTCAGCAGTCGTTCTAGTTGAGTTGATCAAGGTTGTTGTTGAACCCTCTGACACCA